TCATAAAGAGATTGGTATTTTTCTGGAGGCTGAAATGTAGTATTTGCATTTCCGACGATTATCGAAGAAAATGTCTGATTCTGAATATATATGATTATTTATGTATTCTTAGAGTACTTAAAGTACAAATACATGTATTTCTATATATTAATAATTTTATTTGTATTTTAAGTGAGCATTGACTTTTTGTTTTATGAATTAAGATTAAATGTCTGTGTCATTTCAAAAAAATATTAATGGAACCGTTCAAACAACAATGGAATTACTTGAAATTGTCGCCCGATTGTGGCAAAAAATTGCACCGACTTAAAAGCGGGTCAATACCAAATTCCACCAAAATAACGTCAAAATATACAACCAACTTATAAGCGAGTATATACGGTGATAAAGAATCTGAGAAAGTGTCATCAAATTTTATTCAATGGTTTAGGAGGATTTGCAGATAAGAGATGGGTACCCCAAAGCATATCAGATGGACGTACCGAGATATGGACAGGCAACATGATCACTATAAACCCTTCCGCTTTTCAAGCTGGGTGTATAACAAAAGAATTTGTTTCTGTCCAAATATAAGTAATTACATGTTCAAACCTTAAAGAGGAATGTACTTTGTCTGCAGCTCTTTTATTGAAAATGTTCTGCACTGTTACACTACACCTTCATTCTCATATACCGGTACATTACAGAGTAAAATTTATAAATGTTATATACTAATAGATAATACACAGCTGACCTTCATTCTCTCAAAGACAAATCTCATTGCTTTCACAATGTCTTCATCTTTCTACAATACAGAAAAAATAAAACCTTTCAACCCTTTCTTTAAATATTCAGTATTGCAACAATTCTGAAAGCACAGTTTACACACTTTGAGCACACTGCAGATTAGGGAAAAATTCAAAGGTTTAATCAATGATACATATATTCCAAAAATGTAAAAAAGTTATTTTCTGTGTGACAAAATCATTCTCAAGATTTTGAAAACAACTGAATAGAACAAAACATTCAGTTTTTACTATATATCTAATAAGAAGCTAAACAATGGGTTTTTTTTTTAAAATAAAATACTATGGTTAAAGATGATCAGTGTTACATTAACTAAAGGTGTTTTATACACACCACTGAGAAGACCTCTTTTTCTACCAGTTCTAGAATAATTGGCCAGGTCAGGTCTCCTAACTGCTGAAGTCTTATTCCATCTGCTATAGTGTGGAGAAATCGGGGAGGATTCGGCCAAAGTCTCTGACCTGCATGTACATAAAGTATATATATACGAGGGTTGTCCCATAAAATCGTGGACAAAGCGTTTTTCTCGAAAAGTAATGGGCGCACTAAGCTGAAATTTTCAGTAAATGTTTATTCATCATATTTAAGTGAATCATAATGTTTTTGATAATATATATTCAAAAACAAAGATTTTATTCTGCTTGAATGTGCACAAGGTATGGTCCTACGGCGCACGGTAAAAATAGCATGTTTATATTAGAGAAGACATAAGAATTAATTCGTAATAAAAGTTTTCAATACATAAGATTAGGATGAAAATTATCCTAATTCCATTCCTTAATCAATTCTGTCGTATTTTTAAAAATTTCAAGGCATTTGGGTAATTTTTGGCAGTTTCCCGAGCAATTGAAATGGGAAAGTAATAAACACAATTCACGAAAAATGGCGACTTTTTATGACGTTACGGCGCACCGGAGAGCAGTTCAGATAGATTAGGATGTTGTAATGACGCCTTAAGAGACTTTAAAGGAATACGGAAGAAAGAAAATATGAAAAATATCACCAGATCTTTAGTATATAAATGAAATGAAAGTTTTCTTAGTGAAGTCTTCGTGGTCGAGTCCCCAGATAGTACAAAACATATGGACAGACTGCCATTTGTAATAGCAAAGGACGCTGTCACTGTCGACCGTCGATGTGAGATTCTCTTTTAGTTGAATGATGGTGAGAATACTGTCTGTAACTTGCTAATAAATATTCAGAAGATCGCATGAGTGTGCCACATTGGTTTCTTAACTGGTTATAGATACTCACATATGTAAATCAATAAAATTTCTAAATTTAAGTTGGGCTTATCCAACTTTAAGTTTAGCAAAGATGAAATGTGACCCTGTTTTAGACACTTTGACGTTATATAGGGCGATACAGTACATAACATAAAATATCACGATTTGTTTACCTATGCATATATCTATTTGAAATTTGCTATGTATATTCATAATTTATCTGCTAAAAAGTGGTGAAAATTTCAGAACGCAGTGATGATTATTTTTCAAACTAGACAACTTGTCCATGATTTTACGGGACAACCCTCGTACAATACCAAGGATACAATAGTGACATTTTAACGTGATGTAGACAACAAAAACTGGAGTGAAACTTTTTTTTGTTAAGTACATTGTATATGACAATAGTTCAGTTTTTCACTTTTTTCTTTGTTTGCAAAGTGAAATTTGAAATTGCTTTTTTAAATAAAATTTTATGTAGATGATTGTAGATTTATTGACAAACAATATATGATTGCTACCTGCTCTTAGGCATTCTTCACACATCTTCCCTTCTGGTTCAACCATGAACACTAAAAAAGAAATGATAAAACCTTTGATATCATGCATAAAATTATATCTTCAGATTTTTATTACATTTACCAGTTTATTCCATTATAATTTAACTTTATATTATTGCTGATATTAATTGTATTCAGACATTACAAAAAAAAACAAAAACAAAGTAACCTGGTTTAATAGCTTTTGCTGCTATGCTAACCTTTATTATCTGGTTTAATAGCTTTTGCTGCTATGCTAACCTTTAATATCTGGTTTAATAGCTTTATCTGTTAGCTAACCTTTAATATCTGGTTTAATAGCTTTATATGTCAGCTAACCTTTAATGTCTGGTTTAATAGCTTTGACTGCTATGCTAACCTTTAATATCTGGTTTAATAGCTTTATCTGTTAGCTAACCTTTAATATCTGGTTTAATAGCTTTATATATCAGCTAACCTTTAATGTCTGGTTTAATAGCTTTGACTTCTATGCTAACCTTTAATATCTGGTTTAATAGCTTTAGCTGCTATGGCAATCCCTGAGGTCATTCCACCACCACTGACTGGAACCAATATGGCGTCCAATTCTGGAACTTGTTTCAAAAACTCTACAGCTATTGTGCCCTATAACCATTGAATGAAACTGAAATAATTCAGCTAAATGTATTGCACCTGAAGGATATTTATCAGTAAGGTAATGCTGTTAATTTGTTATTGTCCGTCAATGTTCCATTACACCTTCATTCATACCTGTCCAGCTATGACATCATAGTGGTCATATGGAGGAACTATGATAAAATTGTTCTCCTTGGAAACTCTGTCACATGTGGACTGTCTGTAATTAAAACAACATGATAGTATATAATTTTGATAACATATCTTTAATTTTTTTTTATTTTCTCAAATTCAATAATATTTATTTTGAATATTCAGGGAAACTGGTGCACTCTTTCAGTTAAATAACAAGGAATCTCAATAAACTTACTTTAGAATATTTATATGTCATTATATTAAATATATATCAGAGAAAAACATTGTTGGCCTCAACAACATACCTGTCAGCTGGTGTGGGTTCACAGAACACTAATTCGGCACCATAACCTTTGATTGCTTCAGACTTGATCTTTGGTGAATTATTTGGCACAACCACACTGCATTTCACTCCGGCCACCTTTGCAGCCCATGCCAATGCCTGCCCATGATTTCCACTGCTATGTGTGACCTGTGAAAATTTGTGTGTGTGTTTATTCAAAGACAGGAGGCCCATGGGCCATAATGCTCACCTGAATCACAATAGTACTGATGTTCATCATCAAAAGATTAGAAAATTCCATTTTCATTGAATCCACATGAAAAATTCCTACCCCATATTGTGGTTCCAACTTTAGACCAAAAGGAAAAAATATAACTTCATATGAATCAACACATTCTGGGGATTTACATGTATAACATGGTTTTGCTGTTCTTGCAGAAGAATTAAACACATACTACTTTACTACCTGAGAATGAATGCATGTATCTTAATATTATCAATCACAGCATAATTAAGATATGGTATTTCCATATATTCCCATGTCAAAAAAGATCCCTACAAATGTGACCCAAATTAACCTAAACCCTGGGCCATGATTTGTACACACATGCACAACTGTATGTCTACTACCTTAATGATGATTGCATCTTATATTACTTATGATAAAAGATGCAAAATGTTCATGTTTACTTCATACTAGTGACAAATTATGATTTAAAAAAACGCCTAATTTAATCTTTGCCTGAATATGAATAAAAAATCTAAAGAACTTTTTATTTCAATTTTCGTTTACATATGAATTATTATATATAAATTATATATGTTTTATGTTTACATACGACTCCATTCACATCTGGATTTCCAGCTTTTAAGGATAACACCTGCAAAGTACACATTCAATATACAGTTTTATACAATCTAACAATGTACCAAAAAGTTAGTTTACTAAGTAGCTGACTGGAGAAATACCAAATCCAAATCAAAAAATAAATAGCGCGTGAACATCAAAAGGTTTGAAAAAAAAATATTTACAGCATTTAATGCTCCTCTTGCTTTGAAAGATCCCGTCTTCTGCAAGTTTTCTGCTTTGAAAAACACTTTCCTTCCAACCACATTGTCAAGTGTCGAACTTGTGAAAAATGGCGTGAAGTGAATATATGGGGATATTTTTTCATGCGCCTTTTTTATGTCTGAAAGTGCAACTTTAAAACAGTTTGTCATTTTAGTTCTCTAAACTGCTGACTGCATTCAGCCTTTCAGGTCATCATCTGTCACATTCCATAAATTTTAGTTTTTGTTTAGGTTGTTTATTTTAGAGTGATCTCCCTTTCAATGATAATAAATCGGGATCGAACTTCCGATGATTTTTCGTTTTGTTTGATTGTAAATTTCAAATATTGATATTTTAAAAAAAAGGAAAGAAAAATTACGGATGTTTTGAAAACTCCTCTAAACTTCCTCGAGTACAATCTTAGATGCCTTTTGAGGGATAAGAAAGAACATCCAAGAAGGCAATTGAACAAATACGTTTACTGAAAACAAAAATATCAAAGCTGGCGGTTGAAACGGCCTTGACCCCAGTACTGTTTTAACAAGTTCTTGCACAGTCAACGATTGCTCACCAAAACACAATGGTGTTTTGTTGACAACAATGGAATACACGTGAGAATGGCATCTGGTGGCAGACAAGAAAGTAGACGACTAGAAGACTCAACAATGGAGGTATTAGATCAATTTAATACGTCAGAGTTGTACTGAAGAATTCACTAGAAGGATCAAAGTTGACTCGATTTTCTCTGAAAATGAGTGAAAAAAGAACATGCATCAAAACAAATCTGAATACTTAGTCCTAAGTTATACTTAGATCTTCATATTTATTTCTACAAAACAACCATCTGGAAACTAACTTCAATGTATACGTAATTTGTGTATATTAACTTTATTTCATTTTGAAACAGAGCCTTGCTGAAGTATTTCGATGCTTCATTTGTATGGAGAAGTTGAGAGATGCACGGTTATGTCCGCATTGTTCCAAACTCTGCTGCTTCTTATGTATACGGGTAAGTTACAATTTACTTATAACGCAACTGTACTTTCCATTTTTAAATTCATATTGGGTTTACAGCAGTCTGAGCTCGATACAAAGAATTCTGCATTCCTTCCCATTTATTCACTCATTGATAAAGTTTCTAAATTTATCCTACAGTTAAATTCAGAGATGATATATATATCTTTTTTTAAACTCTTAATGAAACCTATTGTAATATTTTGTATGTTTATTACCATGATTACAGAGATGGTTAACGGAGCAAAGATCACAATGTCCACACTGCAGGTAATCAATACTTTACAGACTTGTTAAAGATGAAGATTTTCTTCTAATACACACAAAAATTGAATTATGAACAACTCTGTCAACCTAACAACACAGTCAGTAGATACATACCCATAGAGAATTTATACCGGTATTGCAATATTCTGAAATGGGCTAAAAGTTAGTGCTGTCATTACATGTGTAACTCATTTCTTTTTACAACTTTTGCTTCTTTGCAATATTTATAAAAGTTTTAGAATTCAATTTGAAATTTTAAGTAGACATTTGTGCAACTCCTTTATATTTGTTCTGATATTTAAATGATTTAGTGTTTCATTGTAGAGCCTCTCTCCACATTCATGAGCTGGTCAATTGTCGCTGGGCGGAGGAAGTGACTAACCAGCTAGACACCCTTAAAGACTGTGCTCCCTCCCCAAAGAAAGAGGACTCCGACAAGGACAAGTCCGTTGAATATTTTTACATTCTTTCTTTATTGTCACATGAAAAATATCCTCATGTTTATATTCAGTAATTTTTCTAAATGTTTAATTAAGTGTCAGAGAGGATAATAAAAAAAATGTTTTTGTTTTTAAAAAAAAAATTTCCTATGAGTAGTGAGAAATATAAAAGATGATCGTACAAATTATATGGACCTTGAAGAAATTTCAAACCTTAGGATTTGATTTGTTTTCCTTCTATTTTTAGATGTGACGACCACCAGGAGAAACTGAGTGTATATTGCTGGACCTGTAAACAATGCATTTGTCATCAGTGTGCATTGTGGGGAGGAACGGTAAAGATTTTTGACTTATTGATATTTTTTATTTGTGGAAATATTTTTATTCATGTGGTTACTAGTACTCATCTTTCCAATCCTGTTGCAAAGCTCTTTAATTCTAAAAAAAAAAAGAAGGTCTATAACGAGTATTATTATATTAAAAAAAAACAGGGTTTTTTTTTACCCAAAATGCCATTTGTGTGTAGTAAAAATAGAAGAAAAACATTTTATTTGACATTTCAGCACTCTGGTCATACATTCAAACCTCTGGATGATGTCTATAATGAGCATGTGAAGAAAATTACAGAAGAACTGAACCAGCTGAAACGTCGTCATGTAGAGCTCATTAGTCTGGTGCAGGATGTGGTAAGTTATTATGCCGCCCTTCGAAGAAGGGAGGGCATATTGCTTTGCTGCTACCTGTCGGTCAGTCCACTTAGTTTCTGTTCATTTTCTTCACAATCGTTGCACATACTGAAATGAAATTTAGTATACGGATATATCACATGAATATCTAGGTCAAGTTCTGTTTTGGGTACGATCGCACCATTTTTGACAGAGTTATGCCCCTTGGACTTAGAAAAATTCCAATTATTTGCTGTTTCCGTTCATTTTCTTCGCAACTATTGCACGTACTGAAATGAAATTTAGTACATGTATACCAATATATCACATAAATATCTAGGTCAAATTATGTTTTTGGTACAATCGCACCATTTTTGACAGAGTTACGCCCCTTGGACTTAGAAAAATTCCAATTATTTGCTGTTTTCGTTCATTTTCTTCGCAACTATTGCACGTACTGAAATGAAATTTAGTACATGTATACCGATATTTCACATAAATATCTAGGTCAAATTATGTTTTTGGTACAATCGCACCATTTTTGACAGAGTTACGCCCCTTGGACTTAGAAAAATTCCAATTATTTGCAGTTTCCGTTCATTTTCTTCTCAACCGTTGCACACACTGAAATGAAATATTGCATACAGATTTATCAGATGAATATCTAGATCAAAATCTGTTTTGGGTATGATTCCGCCATTTTTAATAGAGTTAAGCCCCTTAGACTTGGAAAAATTCCAATTACTAGCAGTTTCCATTCATTTTCTTCACGACCGTTGCACATACTGAAATGAAATTTGGTATACGGATATATCACATGAACATCTAGATCAAGTTGTGTTTGGGGTACATGCCATTTTTGACAGAGTTATGCCCCTTAGACTTAGAAAAATTCCAATTTGGGGGGAGGGGGGGCATAAGGCCTAGAAAAAAAATATGTTTGTTTCTGCTTTCCCGACCGACCCTAATTTATAGTGCCGACCCTAAAAAATTTTTTAATGCTTTTGTCCCATGTAGTGCAAGATTTCACCCAGGGAATTATAGTCTCCAACTTCGCAAGCTTTTCAAGACAGAAAGAAGTTTGAGTCACCTTTCTATTATAAGTTTAAGTCACAGAAATGCTTGAAAACACCATTTCTTTTGTCATTAATGTTACTTCTATACACGTTTTGATTAAAGAAGTAAAAATAATTTTCAAAAAAAAAAAATTTGCCTGCCGACCTACCCTATATTTTTTCAGCCTGAAAGCGGAAACAAACATACTTTTTTTCTAGGCCTAAGTGTTTTACAAACATCTCTTGTGTTTATCTTTGAACTGGAAAATTTTATCTAGAGGAATAAATTATGTGTTTCAATATACTTAAAACCTTGTCGATTTATTGATTTACTTTGAATCTGATTTGTTAATAGGAACGCAACATAGAGGGGGTAAAGACTGCCAAAGATGAGAGAGTAAGAGAAATCAGGAATGCTGTGGAGCTGATGATTGCAAGATTGGAGACTCAGCTCAAGTCCAAACTTCTTACCTTAATGGGTAGGTCATGGGACACTTCTTTTTGTAAAGTTTACAGGTCAATACAGCATACACTTCATTATTAAGACCACGGAACATTAACTGGCAAAATTGGAAATATACAGCTTACGTCATTTCTATCTGTTACAATCAAAACATTCAGTGATAGACAATGAAATGGGCGAGTACAATTCGACGTGGACGTGAGGAAAACATTGGATTGAAATTGCAGATCAAAATTCATTTTCAATCCACCTGAGCTGTTTTCAAAGCAAAGAGTGAATGTATGATCTAAAAATTAACTAAATTCAACTCCCAAATACATATTGTTTGAAGTTCACATTAATATGAGTTTTAGCTTATAATTTTAAGAACGCAAAAGATCAAAGAAGACAAAGATTATTTTTTTTTTGGAGATATTTGATTCTAGAAGGTGGGGGGGGGGGTAAAAAATTGTTGAGTCAGGTCATGGCTTAACATGAAAATATATTTTATTTCAAGGATTATAAGAGTGCATGAGTTTTATTCTCACTGAAAACTGTTGGACAACTTTATTTAAAAATCATTCAGCCCCCCCCCCCTACACAAAGATATACATATATTTACCGAACAGAAATTAAATATTTGTCCCTTAAATATTAATCTATTTAAAACACCAGACAAAAAAATTAAAACTGTAACAAATTTGAAATTATTTGTATTCTGGGTCAATCAGTAATAATGTACCTTCTGGCCGTAGCTGAGGTGGATTGAAAATGAATTTCGATCTGCAATTTCAATCCGATGTTTTCCCCACGTCCGCGTCGGATTGTATCAGCCCATTTCATTGTCTATCACTGAATTTTGATTGTAACAGATAGAAATGACGTAAGCTGTATATTTCCAATTTTGCCAGTTAATGTAGGGCAGTCTTATACCGGTATTTAACAATCTCTAAAAATAAAGTTTTAAATATTCTTAAATGAAGGTAAAGTAAGTAAATCTGATTGTAAAAAGTGGAAAGATGTGTAATTTAGGAAAACTATGAAAACTGAATTAAAATGTTTGTATTTAACCAATATTTAAAACTTTGCAAATGCATGAAGATTAGGAAATGTATGCCTTAATGTTGTATAGGCCAGAGAGGGCAAGTGACCCAGGACACAGAAAAGTTAGAGACTCTGATCCAGAAGATGAACCAGAAGCTGCTGAACAGTGGCAAGAATGAACTGATCGGCCAGAGCACTGAACTTCTACAGATGTTCAAACAGTTCCACTGTAAACCCATGGCCTCCTTTGTTACTGCTCCAGTACCTGCAGATTTTACCAGGTATGTATTAGAAATATGCATTACTCTATGTTTAAAAAAAATAATTTAGTGTAGTAATTATTATTTAATTAATATTTAATCATTTTGTCTTTAGTGAGATAGTCCCCCAGTATGACACTAGTACTTTTGTGATGAAGAACTTCAGTGTGTTACAACAGAGAGCTGACCCAGTCTACAGTCAGCCATTACACGTGTCGGGCCTCAGCTGGAGACTCAAAGTCTATCCTGTAAGTTTGAGATATATAAATAATAATTTGAATTGAATTTGAACTCTTTCTGTAAATATATTTTGGTCTGAATGATAAACACATAGCGGTTTTTGTATGCATTTATTATGCCCCTCTTCGAAGAAGGGAGGGCATATTGCTTTGCTGCTGTCTGTCAGTATGTTGGTCTGTCGGTCTACTTAGTTTCTGTTCATTTTTTTCGCAACCGTTACACATACTGAAATGAAATTTGGTATACCGATATATCACATGAATATCTAGGTCAAGTTTTGTTTTGGGTACGATCGCACCATTTTTGACAGAGTTATGCCCCTTGGACTTAGAAAAATTCCAATTTGCAGTTTCCGTTCATTTTCTTCGCAACTGTTGCACATACTGAAATGAAATTTGGTATTCAGATATGTCACATAAATATCTAGGTCAAGTTCTGCTTTGGGTACGATTGCACCATTTTTGACAGAGTTATGCCCCTTGGACTTAGAAAAATTTCAATTATTTGCAGTTTCCATTCATTTTCTTCGCAAATGTTGCACATACTGAATTGAAATTTAGTGTACAGATTTATCAGAAGAATATCTAGATCAAGTTTTGTATTTGGTATGATTGCGCCATTTTTGACAGTTATGCCCCTTAGACTTAGAAAAATTCCAATTATTTGCAGTTTCTGTTCATTTTCTTTACAACCGTTGCACATACTGAAATGAAATTTAGTGTACAAATTTATCAGATGAATATCTAGAACAAGTTCTGTTTTGGGTATGATTGCGCCATTTTTGATAGAGCTATGCCCTTTTGGATTTGAAAAAATTTTAGTTTGGTGGGAGGGGGGCATAAGTGTTTTACAAACATCTCTTGTTTGTTTTATGCTTGTATGTTCATGTAATTTGTCCTACAGATGAATGCAGCTTGTTTGAAATATAGAATTTTGGTAATTTAGTGACACCTGAATATATTTTTTTTTTCATCAATAATTGTACTTGTTTTCATTGCAATTTTATATTTTCTATTAGGATGGCAATGGAGTGGTAAGAGGAAATTACCTGTCAGTATTCCTAGAACTGTCTGTTGGACTCTCTGAAAATTCCAAGTAAGAAAAATTTATTGCAACATTTATTCAGTTTTTGATTTCAAATCAAAAAATAAAGGTATGCTTAATTTAAAATTTATACCCAAAAGTTTGGAAGAATTTAAGATTTTTTAAGATATTTTCTTACTTATTTTTTTTGTTTGCCAGATATGAATACAGAGTGGAGATGGTCCACCAAGCCTCCAGAGACTACACAAAGAACATCGTTCGGGAATTCGCCTCGGACTTTGAGGTGGGGGAGTGTTGGGGGTACAACAGGTTCTTCCGCCTGGACCTGCTGGCCAGTGAGGGTTACCTGGACACAGACACCGACACCCTGATCCTGAGGTTCCAGGTCCGACCCCCCACGTTCTACCAGAAGTGTCGAGACCAGCAGTGGTACATTAATCAGCTGGAGTCCACTCATACTCAACTGATCAACCAGATCACTGATCTCAAAGAGGTAGGTAGTCGTACATCTTATTCACATCTTTGGTTCCATCAGCGTCTAACCATTTTGTGATTCTAAGAAAAGAAAAGCTGTATTCTTGATTTATGACCAAAAATATCTTTTGGTCAGAACTAGAAATTTTGAAATCTAATATCTATTTTGTCAGGAAATGATTTATTTATTTATTATGTATCTTTTCTCAAAATGCTATATTTCTGTACCTAATATTGTAGAGGTTACTCCTGCTTGAGATGTCTAGAAACTCAGGGTCCGGCAAAAAGGGTGGAGCATCAGCTGGTAAATATTATAGCTTCTACATATACTCAATGTTATTATTTACATTGTACACTTATGTGTAGCTTGTATGTACACTGGGTTCAGTTCATTGACTCAATATACAAAGTCACATCTCTCATTGATTTTTAGCTCACCTGAGCTGGAAGCTCAAGTGAGCTTTTCTGATCACCCGTTGTCCGTCGTCCGTCCGTCCGTCTGTCTAGCTGTCTAGCTGTCCGTCCATCCGTCTGTAAACTTTTCACATTTTCAACTTCTTCTCAAGAACCACTGGGCAAATTTTAACCAAACTTGGTACAAAGCATCCTTGGGTAAAGGGGAATTTAAATTGTTAAAATCAAGGGCCAAGTCCCTTTCCAAGGGGAGATAATCAAGAAAATACAAAAATAGGGTGGGGTCATTAAAAAATCTTCTTCTCAAGAACCACTGGGCCAGAAAAGCTGAAACGTGTGTGGAAGCATACTGGGGTAGTGTAGATTCTAAATTGTTAAAATCTTGACCCCCGGGGGTAGGGCGGATCCACAAGAGGAAATCCAAGTTTTACATAGAAAAATATATAGGAACAAAACTTTAAAAATCTTCTTCTCAAGAACCATTCGGCTAGAAAAGCTGAAACTTATGTGGAAGCATCCTGGGGTAGTGTAGATTCTAAATTGTTAAAATCATGACCCCTGGGGGTAGGGCGGGGCCACAATAGTAAATCCAAGTTTTACATAGAAATATATAGGAAAAAACTTTAAAAATCTCCTTCTCAAGAACCATTCGGCTAGAAAAGCTGAAACTTATGTGGAAGCATTCTGGTTTGGTGTGGATTCTAAATTGTAAAAATCATGACCCCCGGGGGTAGGGCGGGGCCACAATAGGGAATACAAGTCTTACTTAGAAATATACAGGAAAAAACTTTAAAAATCTTCTTCTCAAGAACCACTGGGCCAGAAAAGCTGAAACTTATGTGTGGAAGCATCCTTGGGTAGTTTAGATTCTAAATTGTAAAAATCATGACCCCTTTGGGTAGGATGGGGCCACAATAGGAAAACCAAATTTTACATAGAAATATATAGGACAAAACTTTAAAAATCTTCTAAAGAACCACTGGGCCAGAAAAGCTGAAACTTATGTGGAAGCATCCTGGGGTAGTGTAGATTCTAAATTATAAAAATCCTGACCCCAGGGGATATGGTTGGGCCACAATAGGGAATACAAGTTTTACATAGAAATATATAGGAAAAAACTTTGTAAATCTTCTTAAGAACCATTGGGCCAGAAAAGCTGAAACTTATGTGGAAGCATTCTGGGTTAGTGTAAATTCTATATTGTAAAAATCATGACACCGGGGCCGGGGTAGGGCGGGGCCACAATAGGGAATCCAAGTTTTTCATAGAAATATATAGGAAAAATCTTTAAAATCTTCACCTTGAGAACCACTGGGCCAGAAAAGCTGAAACTTATGTGGAAGCATTCTGGGGTAAGTGTAGATTCTAAATTTTCCAAATTATGACCCCTGGGGGTAGGGCGAGGCCACAGTAGGGAATCCAAGTTTTACATTGAAATATATATGGAAAAATCTTTGAAAATCTTCTTAAGAACCGTTGGGCCAGAAAAGCTGAAACTTATGTGAATCTTGCACTAGTGTAGATTCTAAATTGTCCAAATCATATCCCCTGGGGATAGGGCTTGGTCACAATTAGTATTACGAAGGTGGGAAATCTGTTAAAGAACAGCATGGCCAAGTTTCTCAGGTGAGCGATGTGGCCCATGGGCCTCTTGTTTAAATATTTCAACAATATACTTTATGAACATGATGAATAGAATATTGAAATATTTTACACATTGTATCAGTATTAGTACATGTATATGCACTATTTTTTATAAAAGTTTGAATGACATAATTCTCTCTTCAGAATCCCCCCTGCCATTGATAGATCCCCAGGGCAGTGGTGATGGAAATCTTACTCAGCATTCCATTCTGTATCCCAAACCAATCCATCCAAACTCAGGCTCTGAGATCGAGATCGAGCTGTGCGAAGAAGACCATACAGCAAAGGATGACAGCTCAACCTCTGGATCAATTGATGTATGGCAATCTCTGTATATATTGTGGGGGGGGGGGGGGGGGGGGGGGTAAAGCAGAAATTTATCACAGTATAATATTTGACCTCTTTTTACATGGAGTTTAATAAATATCTTTACATATAAATGATCTGTAATAAGTCCCATAACTGTGTTCAGCAAAGATAAATTAAACATTTTGTGCATATGTTTCTTTTGTCTTTACTTGTTATCTTTTTCAAGTCTAACTATTCAAAACATTGTTTACAAGGATTTGGTATAAGTTCTTCAGATTTGGTATAAGTTCTTCAGATTTTTTTTTTAAATTTTGATATATTACTGATACAGGAGATAAGCCAGTATGATATAGAGGACTGTGAGCATGACAATGACCAAGGGGCAACAGAACACAACGACGAAAATGACATCGACGAGGAGACTATGTAAGTTTTAAAAAATCAGCTGATTGTCTGTTGTCACCATTAAACAGTGTAAATGTAAAAAAAAAATTAATTTGGTGTTTTGATATTGTAGTAAAGTTTGTTCTGAAAAGAAATGTTTTTAGCTAGAGTACAATTGTACATTAAACCTTTGAATTGTTGGCTGTGTTTGGTACTGTGAATATGATGAAGTACACGGTATATTAAAAAGTCAGTCAGTTTTCTGTTTTTGTTGTTATCAGGTCTGTAGACAATGATGTGGAGAATAATTGGGAGAACAACTTGGACAGATTGGGGGCTCATAGTTACACCCCCACCATCCCTAACATTACAGATAACAGGTATGGGGAGAAAAGAATATCCTGTGTGCATTTAATACATATTGTTTGTTTCAATTTTAAGGTATAATCACAGTGCTTTGTGAGAGAAGGTAAAAAAAAAAAAAGATTTACTGTAGACGTAAAAAAATTTATTTAGAAAATTGAATTTCTTTATAGTGCTGTAGATGATGAAGCAGTCCTAATGCAGTTTTTACAAGAACATTCTAAATATGACAACACTTGGTGTGTTGGAAATGGTAACTATTTTTCGTCATGTTGAAATTTCTTCCCAAAATGTTTTTTTTATACATGAAAGTCTTATTAACATGTGTATTTTGAATGTTATGAACAATTTTTTTGAAATATTTTGCCTTTACTTTATTATCCTAGATGCTGCAGGTGATGGACTCAGTTCTGACTGGTTGGACAATGTCCTGAAATTCACTAAATCCTGCAGTAACAGCAAAGATACAAAGGACAAGGACTCCAAGAAGGATCCTGCCATCAAACCTAAACCTCCTGCCAACAAGCCTGCCATCCCAGCCAAGCCTGCCAACGCCTCTGCCACCGCCTCCAAGCCACCACCGCCCACCACGGACTACATGCTGGAACACATACACCAGAGGTTCACAGAGCTGGCGGCCTCCACTCTGGCGGCTGCCAGTGGTGCTGTGACTAGTGAGACAGAGGCTAGGGCCATGGTCAAATCAGACAACAAAGGTATCAGTAGTAAAGGAGATGTTCAGTTTTCTTTCCACAATTTTTTTTGTCTATGCTGAAGTTACATTGTTGTTATGCTAGACATTGCTGGTTATATGTTGTTCCCATTGTGAGATGTGAATGTTCCTTTCTTGACTGTGAAAAAGTGATGTCTGTTATCTTGAAATAAATGTTATTCATTATTTAGACAAAAAAGAAAGAGTGCAGATTCCATCCATGGATCTCTCAACAAATGATAAAGGAAGCAAACTTAAAGGAGAGAAGGAAAAGAAAATAACAAATACATGTATATCCTCCTCAGATTTAGGTAAAAATTTACTAATCTATCATTTTCTTAAACATTGAACTGAATTAAGATGAGTAGCCAAATTTTAATAATTTTGGTAATTTTTCTTTCAATATTAATGTGGGTTTTGCTGTTGTAGATGGAGTTCTTGGCCTTGACTTGACCAGTGCCTCCTTAGAACAGGAGACTTTGTCTGACATATCATTGGATGACATTCCATCTCCCCAGCGGTACCAGTCCCAGCAGCTAGCAACCGCCATTCCACACAGGTATACTGTCTACTTATCATTTACATGTAAATATATTGATCTCACAATTTACATTTGTATATGCATGTATCTCTCTTACATTTGGAATGATTCATATACAGTAACAAAAAAAATGTTTATTTCATGAACATTTTGTACCTGAACTGGGTCAGATTAATTTTGAGTACCTATATTTCAGGTTACATTTTTTATAATAGAAATTTATGCACTGAATTGAAATTTGTCATGCATTTATTTGAGATTGTAGAATGTTTAAAATTAAATTTTAGTCCACCTGATCAAGGAGGAAGCAGAAAGAAAAGACTGGTTATAACCAAGAACAAGGTTTCTACAGCAGCTTCTGGATCTCATAAAGACCAAGGTCAGTGAAGGATTCTATTACTTCATGTCCCAGAGACTGGGGTTGTGGCCATTTTCAGACTATTTTGATCTCCATTAAAAGAAGTGTTCCATATAAAGATATACAAAATTGATGAAATTTTAAAATTAATATGTATGAAATTTTTCATTGCCAAATGATAGTTGACGGCAGATATTTTAGAAATTTAATTTATATCTGGTGGTTAAAAGCCTCCTTTTAATCCATAAGAACAGTATAACTTTGACCAAAAAGTTTAAACCATACAAGATATAGGCGTGTAAAATTTTCTAAATTTCTATCATACTTTCAAAAAGATAAAATTGTCACAAATATATTGTAGTAGTAGGTCTTACAATATCCTCTTTATAAATAGAGATTTTCGATTTTTTAATAGGAATTCCCTGGGCTCTGAATTTTGTAAAAAAGGTGAACAAATCTGAGCCAGCCATGGAGTCAAAAGATAAAGGAGGATGCACAGTCACTGTGGGGTTGTCCTCTGTTGTTGTTGATAACCATAGTAACGGTAAAGAGGGCTCTCAGTTGCCTAGCAGTAGTGCTTCAGGAGCCAACAGTGATCACAACACATCGTCTGATTCATCATCATCCAGTTCTGGTCCTCTTGTGGAATTCAGTTCTCAGGCTGCTGCCAAGGAAGCCAGGTTTGTGTCCAATGAGAATGCTGTTCACTTTCTGTGTATCATGTACTGCTTGATTTTTTTAAAAAAACTTTGAGTTCTTCATTTAAAAGGATAGTATGGTTTTTGGTTAGTATTTTGATAACAAAATTATGTAACAAAAGCTGAATTTTACAAAATTTAAGTCTGATTACTGGCATCAAATTAATGATAGCTTATTAAATTCTTGGAGAAAAGGCATTAATTACATGTACATGTATGAGAAATTCATTTTAAAATTTAAGAACCGAAAATGTTAAATTGTATAGCAGTTATCTTTCCTACTAGAATGGGGTATGATGAGATTATTTAGCATAAATTTATGGATAAGAAATATTCTTAATTAATTTTAAAAATAGACTGGTTTTTTTTTTAAGAAAAAAAAACTATTGAGAACTGATAGAATGAAGTTTTTCATCCTGTTCAATGAAAGAAATAGCTGCTCTTGCATCTTTTACTTGGTCTTTTAATGATCTTGACAGCATCATGCTGTTGGAAATTTAAATCACTCATTTAACAGTACAATTTATATTTCAGGTCAGAGAGTGGTGATGATGCATCTGTGGTATAACTATTCAGCATCCGTTCCATGTCACTCATCTAACAAGGTTCATATTACCTCAGAGACAGGAAGACAAGATTTAAAACTGACAATTATTGCCACAAAGAAAGCAGGAGAAACAAAGGAAATATTTCATATTTAGTTTTCGTTGAAGTGATATCTGGGTTTCATTAAAGTGATATTTGACCTTCACTAAAGTGATATATATATCTAGTCACGATGATCATATCAGGAAAATCGCCATGCTTTTTTTTTTTCATCATATGTGTTGTACTTGAATGAAGTGGAATTTTTTCAATCATTCTAATGAGAACTTTATGTGCTGCCATGGTTGTATGTTTTAATAGATTTGTTAAATCTTGAACTATATTTCTATCCTCTTGAAGTTCAAATGAAGTCAGTAACAAAGGATTTCTAGCAGAGGTCATGTTTTGCATGTACTTTTATAAATTTTCTTATTATTTCAAGGAATATTTGCTCAAGGTCAGTTGAAGAGAAAGTTGATGCTGTAATTATCGGTACTGTTCAAAAATAAGGGAAATAGAGTGTGGCATTTCAAGGAAAGCAAAGTGATTGCATTTGTTAATTTTAATATGAGTCATATTATCAATGTGAATAATTCTAACTATAATGCTAAAGTTACACACACAGTATTGAAACTATTGTCTGACTATCATTTCATTGCATTTTTGTCAGGGGTATGTAGAATCCAAAATGGTCTGGGAAATTGTGGCCATTTTTTTTCAAACAGTTCAAAATCTTTTTTTTTTTCTAAATTCCAATTCAGATCTCTTCATTTCTTTTGTTTAATTTTACTGTTTTGCTTTTTTGCATAGGATTATTGTTATGAATTTATATTTTCTATTCTGTATATTTTATTTTTTCTAAGTAATTTAGGTAATGGTTTTTAAAGCATTAGTACATATAGTTATTTAGACAGTGCTATTTTGACCTATGACTGTGATGAAATACTTCAGTGCAAGGATGTGTTTTCTTTCTTTCTTTATGCTAACAACTAGAATTTGTATGAACATGTTGCTTGTGTGTTTTACAGACATGATTGATTCAAATGTAAAAATGTTTGTGTTAAATTTGCATTTATTTGATAATTGAAATAAACGAATGTTTTCAGTACAAGTAATTATAATTGGACTTTCCTTTGATGTTCTTCTATTTTATTAGGAGGATGTGTATTGATAATGGTATTGAAAAAGTGAAGTGGAAATACATGTATGTACAGTGTAAAACTAGGGTATATTTTTCTACTGTATGAGAAATTTTATGACAGATTTATTGAATGGCTTATCATTTACCCTGGCCTAACAAGTTCCTCCAACAAAAGTCCCATGACATGTCATGCTGTAGTGTACAAGGGGCCCGAAGGGGGCCTACAAAAATCCATGGAATTCATTTATAATTAATACATGTATAATAGAGAAAGCAAGCCATTATGAAGCAATTCCAGTTTGGAGGGGGATCACATCAGATGGTTTTAGTGTTTTGTTTTTTGGGGGGGTATGAATTAATTATTAAGCAATCTTTTTTTTTTTTTACATTTTGATGAGAAGTTATTATTGACGGGGAAATGTACGTAAATATGTTTTTTATGCTATTAATTGGTAAAGGTATTGGGGGGGGGGTGTATTCTCTTTAGAGAAGTGGAAAGGCTTTCGGGTATCGCGACTGTGGAAAGCGTATTTAGGTTTACATGTACCAGTGTGTAATTGTAGGAAGCATTGACTTTGATGATGTTTCATTGAATGAATTCTCTAAAAATTGAAACAGTTACAGTTACTTCTTAAGATATAGTTTGGTACGTTTCCTAGTTGTTAATGGTCACGACTGGAGATCTCCATCATGAGAATACTAGTATTTCACGTTTCCTGCAATAAGCTGTCTGTATGAAATCATTCGACGAATTTATCTTCATGTAATATTCTGCATCTCCAGTAATTCATTTGGCCCCTTTTGACTGCATAGCTTTCCGACATGTTTTAAAAATATTAAAATGTACATTTATTGTTTATTAATTAGCATATTGTGTACATATACCAGTAGTTAATTAAATCAGACGTTGATCCTTGGAGTATTTATGTTTGTTCATAAGCCGTACAAATCCTATTTCCGAAACGTTTTGATAGGTTTAAGAAAAATTAAGTTCAGCGCGGGAAATGCTTACTCTGCTTTCCTTTTTTTGTTAGTTGGGTAAAATCCAAAATTAATTCACATCAAATGGATTAATTTCGCATGGAATTCTCTAACCTTTACAACAGCTTGAAAGAATGGATTTTGAAAATACGTTATCGAAAGTGCGGTTAAATAGGTAAATTCCAGCTTGCATTCAATTTGTTATATCACCTGAATGATAAAATGGCGATAAACGCTATTGAATCATTTTTACTTTTCTACGGGTTATTTAGGGTGATTTAAAGGAATATGGAATTGTTCCAGTTTTCTTTGTTCTACTACTATAGTCGCTCCTGTATGTACCTGCGTAGTAGAAAAAGGTTATTTGAATAATATTTAAGGACCTTCACTAAAATTATGTTCTAGAATTTTCTCGAAAATGAATACTCACCCTACCCCAGTCCATCAAAAATGCGATATTTTGAATCCTGAAGATTTATTATAATTCTTTTTTTTTTTTACCTGAAGATTTATTATAGTTCTTTTTTTTTTACTTGCAGACACATGTTTTGTTCCTGGAAAAAAAAATATTAGTACAAATTTTTAAATTAACGCGTGTCTATCAATTGATTTTTTTTTATTTTATTGTAATGAAAATACCTATTCTTTTTCTTTCTTTTTAAGATTTGACACCATTTAAGGTAGACATTTACAGAAAGCCTATGAGTGGCCTTTAAATTACAACAGATCGATAGTCTAAATAAGTCATTGGAAGGAAGCCCAGTATTGCAATTTCTTCAAAGTCACGTGAGGATAGAGTCGTCAACAAGATGCAGAAAATAGAGACATGTTCATGAATTTGCTGGATCACACATGTAGGGATAAATGTATGTTACTTGTCTGATAAAAAGCGTTTATTTTAAATCGCATAAAAATACATAGTATACTGGTCACATTGATGCATTTATCCATGATGCCAACACATACATGCATAGGAATGCCAAAAAGAGGGGGGTCTTTTGTTTAAATTGATAGTATAGTTAATAGCTGTGGGGTCATTCGAGGTCAGGATTTATACAAATCAATGACAACATTTAGCATGCTAAATAAAATCTGGTCCTAAAGAGAAATTTGCGTCGCAACAAATTCGTAACTTCCAAATGCCAAATCTGTCTTCATCTACGTTTCTGAGCTCTAGATGTAGAGTAGACAAAGCAATGCAGCAGTAGGTTCAGACCTTAAAACATCCTTCTGGGATACATCTTATATATCAGATGAAAAGAAAAGAAAGATTCTAAGAATTGAAGAACTGTAGGAAAGAGCAGTTCAAGAAACTATGGTTAAACAAATTGTATGCTTAGTAATAGGGTTGGATCGCGGAGAGCATCTTTAAAAGCATAACCCCGACATCATTTCGGCAGGCAATAATATGGGACCTAATTGGCTAGAGGAAGAAGGGTAGGCCAGTAAGCAGTTGCATGAAGCAGGGTAACGATCTCAGGAACCAAGAAATCAGCTTGGTAGAATCAAACAAACAACATAGAAAGTGGAATTAGTGCTCACCGATGACCTATGCTCCTCTTGGAGGCGAAACACTAATGAATGGCAGCCACAACCCCTTTACATGCGACCATGGGTATACGTATACAATGTAGAAATTAATAATTAAAATATGTGTCGTCATAAATAAACAAAAATTAAATAAAATACCAGTAAAACGCATTTTCTATGCCAAAATGATTTAAAATCTGCCAAAGTGCACGCTACGACTCAGTTGGTGTTATAAATACTGTGCAATGAACATTCCTGGCTCAATTAGATTGATTCCTGGCTTTGCCGTTTTTATTGTGATGACGTCACAATAGTGATGACATCATAATGCATTTTGTATTGTTACTACGTAATAAAGTGAATGTTTTCAGATAAAGGTTGTTCCGTATAGTTATGTTAATCTATCTCTCATTATCCTTGCAGAAAGATAAGGCTTAAACATCATCGTATATTTGAATTTCTAAGTCATCTCGTTATTAATAAATAGAGTAAACTTATCTATGTTAGAGGTTTGTGAACTATGACGTCACAATCACTGAAAAAGAACAACGTCATAATACAATGTACACTATTTAGACATTTTGATATTGTTACGACATAGTTCAAATTTTGTTGCATATATAGTACGCCGTAGATGCAAGTAATGTAAATCCAAGGAGACGTTGCATTTGACTTAGTTGGCATTTAACCACCACAACGGTAGGAAATCCCGAAAGTTCCAGGTGAAGAAAAATGTCGCTATCGAGATTCTCTCGGTGTGATAACTGTTTTGTTCGTCGAAATCCCGTATGGAACTGCAAATCCTGTCGAAACTCCTTATGCTACAGTTGCAAAGAGAGTTGTGATATATGCCATGAACCAGCATGTGGACGTTGTATCCGAAAATGTGAAGATTGTTTCAAGCGAGTGTGCTTTGGATGTAACAGGGTCTGTACATCATGTGGTACTATTCTCTGCTCTAATTGCGTGCAGAAGTGTAGCGATTGCTTCAAGCCTGTGTGTGGATCCTGCCAAGGTCGCTGTATCGATTGTAGGAGCGTTCTCTGCGTCGAGTGCGATGTTGGGTGTGGAACATGCGATGAGACTGTCTGTTCGACTTGTTCCAGAACTCGTGCTTGTTGCTTGACCGGATGTTGCCGCCGCTACTACCATCATCACCACCACCGGTACCATAGTTACAGTTGTTGCTCCTCCTATTGCTACATCTGCAACCCCACCCTGAGGATCCGTAGGTCTATAGATGAGTGTCTTGATCCCCTTTGCTACCACTTCAAGCAGAGCTGTTCCGACTGTGGGAGTTTGAAATGCAAACGCCTGATGCGACGCTGCTACGAATGCCTAACCCCATTATGCTCCATCTGTGCCCCTCACTGCAGAGAATGCAGCATAGATCGATCCCTTCGTTTAAAGTATCTTTACTGATTAATGCAGAAATTATGTGAAAGCACGCCTTGTTTGTGCGAAAAAAAGATAAAGCAGATAATTATGACATTTGCGCGGGAAACTGTAAAGCATCTGTGATAGTTGAAAGTTTTTGCTACAGAATTTGTTAGTCATTTACATTTGTTAGATTTTGAACGTTATTGCTGGAATTTACATATGCAAGTTATAGAACGTCCGTGAATCGTATTTATTTATGAGCATGTTTCGATTGCTTTTTTGTTTTAAGTTTTGAATTTCACTCCCAGTATTTTTTTCATTGTTCAAGAGAGTGTAGATATCATGTCTATTTATTGAGCCATTTAAAAGCACATTTTTACTTATAATAAAAGATTGTGATATCGCATTAAGGTGTGTATTTTATAGCTGCGATACAAAAAAGAGTGAATTAACTTTATAAGCAGGGCTTTCGTGTGTAAAATTTAGTTCCGTGTGCAAAACTTGACCTTTGTGACGTACTTTGGAATTACATTGGTTGTTAAAAATGAGGTATTAATATGTATGAAACTCGCAAGATTCTACTTGCAGCACCATCCTTTTGGCTTTGGCGGGTTTCTGTTACGAATGAAAGTTTAAGTGAAATTTTTAAATACCTTTAAATAGATATTTAATTAAACTAGCTGTGGAACATTCATATGTCTTTTAGGTTTGTGCTTTAACAGTTGAATGTATTGATAGGGAAATGCCATTTTTGAAGTATTTTGAATCATGTTTACAATAACTCGTATACCTTTTGCAAAAAGTTACTTAATGTGTTCTGCAGCAAAAGCTAAAAAGTAGGGTATTTGTCCAGACTTGTAGAGTACATTGAACGATCTGTACTAAAAATTTGGAAGTGATCCCAAATTAGAACAAGAAATGTTCTCAGTTGAGCCAATCTAAGGAGACTACAATAAATACAAGACGTTATACGTGTGCTATGAATATTGGCCCAAATTCTATACTTTATCATTGATATGTTTAAAATCTTATCTTTGAATCCACACTTGTCGAGTTGCGTATCTCTGATTTAAACGATTACGTCAAATTGTCTAGAGTCCGATAGAGTTTAAACAGTTCCATTTCTTTTCTGGAATATTCCTGTTAGTATATTTCTTTAAGTATATAAATTAGATAGAAAGAATATATCTGGATGTTTAGGTGCATTATATTTTTAAATCTTGGATTTATTGCTAGTGTACATGTGTATATCTTCCGATGGCTGAGTAGAAAAGGTATCGTCGTTCCGTCAGAAACTCTTCTTTTTCAGGCGTGCTTGGTTTTCGCGTGATATCAAGGAATATAAGTCATACAAGTGTAAAACTCAACCAAGATCGAACCTATGCCTTCTTTTAGCTTCTCTGCTGCCAAACGTCTTCGGAATCGTATAGACTGCAATCTGCAAAAGCATTTGTCTTGAATATAACAAGTTTTAAGGTCCCATAATTATCTTATTATTTGATCATGTATAATTTGGATTATGATAGTAAAGTTAAAACTGATTCATAGAAGTTTGCCAATCAGACCAGAGCACAGTACCTCACTGTAAAAACGCCTTGCACTGTAACAATAACACTAGAATCGACTGTGATTAATGACACATGTAATACTGAATTACGCTTCTAAGGTTTCTTTGATCCATCACTGAATCTGCAAAAAAATGAACAGCCCTTCTATCGAATATGATTTTAAGATTTGATACCAAAGTGATAACTTACATTCATCATGGGATAAGGCGAGTTGTGCATATATATTTGAAAGAAGGATTAAAATACTAGGACAATGTTTTCTTGTTTTCGAACTTTCCTAAGTATCTATAGAGAATTAAAGAGGTTAATGACCGACCTTTAATGACCCACTTTCAATATTTAATACCAATAGTTTAAGTTTTGATTCAATCCCTAGGGGTAAATATTCTAGCACTTCTTTACAAAGATTAGTACAATATAAATGTATTATCGGATATATGTCAGGAAATCTGAAAGGCTTCTTTACAAGATTTACTTTGCATAAACATTTAAAATCTCTTAAGGGGGATGTACAAGCCATATTGGATCTAGTCTGGTGTAAAATAAGAAATGTCAAGAATGCGCTTTATACTCTACTAAACTAGCCCAAAGTTACTCAAAGTGCTAATGCACTTATTACCTACTGTCAGAGACCAAAATTAATAAATAATTAAGTTTATTTTGTTTTAATTAGGAAGAAATTAATCATGTTAGAACTGCGCAGCTACAGCATTCACGAGATGAAAAATGCAATGAAAATGGTGTTAGTTTGTTTCATTGATAATATGGCTACAACCATTTGTTTCGCTTTTTTCTTGTCATTATCCATAATTCTTGAAAATTTGATTTTTCATATGGGTGTCTTCCTGAGGCCATGTGTTTATTTCGTCCGCCATTCCTCTGTCACACAGAGTTCGAATAACATTGATTTTAGAATAAATGCGATCAGATTAACACTAAGACAGGAAATTACTAAGTAATAATCATTAGGTTATATTACTTGCTACTTTTATTTGTTGCATCGCATCGTCTGATTAATGAAAAAACGCAATTTTAACCCCACTCTAGCAAATCGGGAAAAACTGTTCTGTTTACAGCTCGAATTTCCTTATTAATATCATTCCACTTAGTATGTTGGCATGTGCATATATCTGCTGTGGATAGATGCGTTTAAAATCATGATTATAATTAATTTTTCATGGAACAAGTCTTGATAATTTGTTGGTTTCTTTAAAACTCAAGAAAAAAAGATAAAAAATGTCCTAAACATATGTGTTTACGTCGGGTCTTTTTTCTGTGGCGATAGAAGTTATTTTCAAATGGGGCACTGCAAGGAGGATGCTTAGCATTTAATTTGAAAATGTTAAACAATATGCGGTGCAAGAAAAACAAATATTAATTACATGTCTTACATTCGAAAAGTTGGTACATATGTCTATTTTGTTTAGCAGTTAGATAGAAACAATAGGCAGTTATAAGATTTCCTTCAGGCACCTCACATAAATAGCTAGATTGTTTGCAATGACCCACACATTGTATGGAGTAATGTTTGGACATAAAAACGCATCATGTCTCATTATGTTGACAACGTTGTAAGCTCTCGCTCATTGAACATACGAAGCTTGATAAAATACATTGATTTGTTTCTTTGAAATTTAGAAGCAAGCACAATGTCTGCAAAGAAAGGTCCATTGCATATGCTATGTCTATCATCGCAAAAAAGTGAGAGGCCACCCGAAAATCCTATGTTCGTTTGTTTTTCTAAATAGTGCCAAAGATTCAAAAAGTTTGCATTACTAAGTATGTGATGGAACATGTACTAGCCTTATAAGACCATTTGTTATAAAAATATTTGGTTGCCCTCTCTCCCGATCTACTGTCTAGAAATGGCCCGACTCAGTTTTTTTTTACATGCCATTACACGATATTTTTTTTTCTTCCGTCACATATATGTTTAAATTTTAAGGAATTTTTTTCTCACCTATAAATACCGACCCAATAGTTTTTCCCTGAGTTGGGAGGACCACCAAACGTCATTTAAAGATGGTATAAAATATTTAATTATTTTGATTTTTTTTCTTTACTCTGTAAAATTGTAATTTTGACAAAATGGGCAAATAGAAAAACAAGTTTTTTTATTCATTAAATCTTCTAACCCACTCTGAATGATTTCATTCCTTTTCAAATGTTGCTCCGCTGTAATGAAAATTGTAAATGTTTATTTGACAGAGTATACGAGGGGAGATCAAAAAGTAAACGATATCTTAGGTATTTGATAGTTATATAATTGTTGAAATATTCGAGTATTTTTCAAAGTGTAAATTGGAGGTCGTTGATAGCATATTGCTTAATTATAAACACATCCCTTTTCAAACTTGCTTTCACGGGGCAACACAACAAGTATCATATTTAACCATCTGCCTTTCTTCACTAAAACGATCTATCCAATCATTGATTGAATTTATAGGAAGTCATTTGTCTTAATAAACTGTGAACAAATTCTTATACGCTACTTCAAAGGCATTTTTAAGATATACCATAAATATTTTAGTCGTTTGTTAAACGAGTTCCACTGAGACAACCATTTTTCGTCACAAGTACCTGCATAATGACGTCATTTTCACATTGCGAGCAAAACTTTATTCAGCATATGATATTTATAGAACTTGTGTTTGGCTATGTGTGCACCAAATTTGTTTCTAATCTGAATTGTTACACATGTATAGAGATAGTTCGCGAACTTTTTGATCACCCCTCGTACTAGTAGGTACTACAACAAGGTCATTCATATCGATTTTATGTGTTTGATTTCTTTGTGTTTCAATGGTGATAATTTAAATTTTGATAGATATTATAAGTTATCTGTGGCAAACTTACAAACTCTTAACTTTGTTGGTGCTCATTTTTCCCTTTACTTGAATCAAAGAGTTTAAGATTTTTTTTATATCAATACGTACACTATTTAGAATAAATTACTTCAAGAAACACTATAACACATTTCCTCTTTTAAAAGTGTTCACATTATTTGAAATATTTTGAAAATGTAATTCTCTTAAACATTTAAAGATTGTTATGTCCCTCCATATTTAGAAGAGGTCTGGAAAACAAAATTCTGTGCTAAAAATAGACCACGTGCAGCTATCCATAGACTACTTTCATGGTTCTTTACACTCTTTTTGAAGACAACGATACATTGTTTTGAACTTGAAATTATCATTTAAAAGTGCAAAATTTAGACATTTTCTCAACAAATGGTTGTAGAGAGAACATTAATGCACAGTTTGCGTATTTTTTTGGATTTTTTAAGGCTTTGCTGAATTCTGCAGCTGCGCAGTTCTAAGGAGCATATCAAAAGCATTTTTCTGCAAAAGTATAGATTATATATGCACAACATGCAATCAGTTATGCATATTTATTGTATCTTTATCATACAGACTTAAAATTTGATCAAAATATAATGTATTTTAGCCATTTGAAGAAATGTTTACATTTTGTTCTCACAGCACTAAAGGCGGTCGTACATTCCCCTTAAGTATGTCCAAGAAACTGCTTTCTTTGTGCAATGTGGACACAAGAGGTGAACTAAAAAAAAGACAGCAAAGAAGAGCATCCCCTCGCAAATAGCATATCTATCAAACATGGCAGCATTCGGCATCGAAGCCGGTGCAAATTACCCATTGCACTGCTTTTGCAAAATTTTTATCAAACTTTAACTTTGGTGCTAAGACCTTAATTATTACCCTTCTGTTTACTGTCTTTACTTATCACGTGATAAGTGGAACTGTGGGTTTCCGACGATGTGGAGGGGACTGTCACTTTACTGAAGGTGTCCTCCGCGCATGTCCATTATTCTATACCACTGGTTTTTCCGCACTTTTTTCTAAATGTTTGCTGATATTGAGCTGATTTTTGTTGACTTGACCTTGAGAGATACTAGTAGATCAAGTTGGCGTTCCATTCCATTTGTTGGGATTACACTTGCCGGTAGGGGACTAATATTGTTAATTACTCTCAAAATAATTGTTCAGCCCTCGTAATCGATTGATTGGTTGCATGTTGTTTAACGTCCCTCTCGACAATTTTTCCCTCATATGGAGACGCCACTACTTGCGGTGGAGAGCTGTAAAATTTTGTCCTACACTCTGCACTTACGGTCTTTGAGCAGTGAGGGATCTTTTTCATGCCAGCACCTACTGCAACACAGGACCTCAGTTTATACAGTCTCATCCGAAGGACCAGTCTCCACATCCCACAGAGGGATTCGAACCTGCGACGTAAGGATCAACTCCTTACTTCATGACTCTAGAGCAGACGCTCTAACCCTCGTAATGGGAGCTAGACTTGGACATTAATAATGTTGCCCCCCCCCCCCCCCCCCCCGCAAAAAAAAAAAAAAAATACGAACTCATTTTTATGATTGTATAAGAGTATTTATTGTGTATAATATTAGCAGGTGTATACAGATTATAACAATAACAATATGGCTACAAGATTCATATGCTACATTTACATAATCTTCTCTATAACTCATCCAGAAACAAATAACACATCAAACAACAAAACATCAAACCAATACAGAAAAAAAATACAATATCATTAGGAATTAAAATTGCATGACTGGCATATAGTAATTGTCTATTTCAATATCAATAAAATCAAAAGGAATTTTTAATTATCCCGCATAATCATGATACAATAAATCGTTTAATCTGGGCACCACTTGGTCCAAAGGATTAGAATACATTGTGATTAGAAAACATTTTGAACAAATGAAATTTGCTGAAAAGAGCTTCGAGTTACTGTATTAGGCAAGATTTTGGAATACAAACCATCCAGAATAGACAAGTTTTACTGTATTTCAAGTATCTTAAGTACTATAAATGTCTTTGTGAATTTTATCATGACTTCACAAACAAACAAAAAAATACAAAGAAATATTAAATAAAAACCTACAGGTAAAAGAAAGGTCAAGAAAGTAACTTTCTATAAAACCTTGAAGTTTCAAACCGAAGTGAACAGCTATCCATTATAATAAGCATGCATTTACTTAGTCTTATTTTGCAATTTCATTTTTCAAACATGATAATAATCCAAGTCCAGTGATTTCAGCATCTTTTCACACATTAAATCCACATAAAATTCACAAAATTGTCTTCCATTATTTATAAAATCCTTATCATTTAGCATAAAAATATATTTCTTTAAACTACCAGTAACACTAAATCATGTTTCAAACCATCAACCTACCTGAATCAAATTATGAACATTTCACATTTTTCAGCATTACACTTAATGTTTTTTTTTCACCTCTAGACTTAAACAATACTCTGAATTATGATAAGCATATACATATACAAATTTATATTAGATAAATACAGTCATGTATTTCATTTGAAAATAAAACTTATCTTTGACAATTTAAATATAAAGTTACCACCAGTATCATGCACCAGTGCTTATAATACATTTTTTAATCATATAAATATTATACATATTTTTATTTGAAAATGAAAATGTCCTTATCTGTGTTAAAAATGGGCCTATCTTTTACAATAAATGTGATCATGATTTGAATTATATGAAAGTTTTTTGAATAACTATTTTCAAGAAAAACATATTTTGTAAGACATATTATATTACACTATAGGTGAGGATAAAATTAAAAAATGACAAAAAAGAAGTCTCTGATGAGACTGTAGCTCTACTGGGTTGTAGCTACAACAAAGGAAGAGAAAAGTTGCAATTATACTTGAAATTATGGCAAATTATGGCAACAGCAATGCAAACATAATTATGATCCTTTTTGAAGTGAATTTTATTGCAATTGCAAAGGAACCCCCCCCCCTCCCATCCCCTTTCCAAACATACTTTTTGCTATTGGAAATGTTTACTGAAAAGCCAGTTGCTCCCAACATTTTTATGCAGTATAGTCAAATAAGAGTTTTGTAGTAGTGTATGAATAAAATTGGTTGTGAAAGAAGTCCCTCCCCCCAATGAAATAGGATTTTTGAGTTTGGGACAATTCTCTGATTGCCTCTCTGATATAGAAATATGTACCACTGTATCAACGGTCCTCTTGTACACCACGTTTTACAGAGCTGTAGGAGTACCATTTCTTTTAAAAAATGTTTAAACATAAATGGTTTGATAAAGGACAACAGACACCTTACAATTGCATGATTTCTTCTGGTATCGGACCAGTAGAGCCAAAAATTAATACCAGCAAATTTCTTCTAAAAACACACAAAAACTTGCAAATGTTTTATGTATCAATTTTCAAACATGCGTTATAAAATAACATTGCAAATGTATCATACATGTTTCAAATTAAAAAAAAATACTACCTGGTAATAATCATGCTTCCATTCTGAAATTTAATTTATCTCTTTGATAATTAATCATTTGAAATTTCTTTAATTTTCCCAGCAATTCTATTTTCATCAAAAATATACCCGTTAGATTGAATATTAAAGTTTAATATTAATTTTAAATAAGAATAATATAAGCAATTATATCACCAGAACCCATAGCTGCAGAACTGTAGCTCTCCAAAAAAAATATATTGACACACCGGAGAGCTACAGTGCCACCCACTGAAATAAATAACTGTATATTTATTAAGCACAAAAAAGTGCACAGTCTCTCAACTCATTTCTCCATGATTGTTAAACTGTCATATCAAAATATTACTAACCCTGTGTTCCTAACTTATTCTTTCACTGTTTCCTAAACAAAATTTTCCTTATGATTGTTGGTCAATAGCCCTCCTGGCATTGAAATTGAGATCATCAAAAATTTTGTCTATTTATACAGCCATTTTGGTTTGCAAGATAATCCGGTCCAACGCACTTCGTGCAGATATCAACTACCAGAGTACTTGATAGAAGAGTAGGGAACTGTTTGAAATCTAGCTTTTTCGTAATTGAGATAAGACTTCGATAGAATTAATCCAGAACCAAGCTCACGTTTTTGTGCACAATAAATATAGGTTTTTCAATGGGAGACACTGTAGCTCTCCAGTCTGTCAATATATACTTTTCGAAGAGCTACAGTTCTGCAGCTATAGAACCCATTACCTTCTGTTATTCATACATAACATATACACAGAATAGTATGGTGGATTATTGTTACAGTCAAGTTCAAGACATTACTTCCAAAAATGACATAATGTTCATGTGAATGGGTGTGCATATAACATAGGAATAACAGATCTACCCAGGTATCTAGTGACCCACATGCTAATTAACATGACCTCCTAAACATTTAAACACAACTTTTTTTTTTTTTTACAAATCAATCTTACTGATCTTTATCTTATTTAGCTAACATCCATGAGTACTTTGTTGATTTAATTATGATTGTGTCCTATCTTTTTAATATTGATTATGAACATTTAATTTACACATGTACATCTTATCTAGTTCCCTGCTAACTCTTTGTGAAGTAGCCAAAAAAAAAAAATTAATGAAATGCAAATTTAAGTTTTAATTGTGACTAGAATGTGCTTAATGTAGAAAATACATGACTACTTTAAATGGAAAAAAAAAAATCATTAAATGTTATTATGAATCAAATAATACAAATATGATCTACTACTAAAGATTTCTATAATAAATAAATAATTCAATTTTTCAAGCAACCAAAATGTAAACCTACATTCATGGTAGTAAAATAGAGAAATGACCATTTCTACTCTTTTTTGAGGAAAAAAAAGAAAAATGAAAATTGTTAATTTAAGAACAATGATAGGCCTACATATTGAAAAGCACCAATTGTTTACATCACTCCTGGATTATACTATGCTGCCTGGTTATACACCAATAGGACACCACTCACACCATAATAACAAAATAATAATCGTACAGAAAGGAAAATAAAATGTGTTAGAACACATCAAACCATGAAGTACACTGAAACATTACATCACCTGCTGATTTTCTTCTCATAGACTAAAAAAAATTGACAAAATGGTTTTAAAAAATCAAATTTCAGCAGTCAATGCAAAGTATCACAATGTTAATTTACTTTAAGGAAGCACTGCTTTTAAAAGTTTAAGAATAAATGCACTCAAAGGGGGACAATTCTAACAAGATATTACATGAGCAAAAATCAATATGATTATCAAATTATTGCCTTAAAAAAATTAATTACACTGATGGTCTATGCAAACTGATTGTAAGCATGCATAAATAATTAAAAGTTGGTGTATGAAGCTCTGCTTCAATCTGAACACTCCGAGGATGGGTATATCTTGACATTGGAGAAGGGAGTGGGGGGAGGTTCAGCCAACGAACCTCCTGTATTTAATTTCGACAATTTTCGTGGGCGCCAGGATTGGTGGAAAGCAGGGACAGTTTTCGGATTGTTTTTCGGTTGACTGGCTTGAGATGATTTAGACTTGGGGGTTGAGGTAGTTTTAGTTTTGAAATTGGAGGATGCTGTGAAAGTGGACAATGGATAATCAAAGACGGTGTGGGGCATTGGAATCTCCTCAGCGTTTGGCTGCTCAGGGTCAATGAAATGCTTAGACTTAGACAATTTTTCTAGAAACTTAACATCTGCACTTGTCTGGGATGGAATGCTTGGATCAACTGCACCACTATTTAAGATGTTAGCTAGTATGACTCGGGAGGAATTCTGAGAATTCCTTAAAGAGCTGAGCTTATGGTTCCTAACAGCAGCTGTATTTTTTCCAGTAAAAGCCCAAACTACTGGTGTAGTCCCATCAGCTTTTTTCCTCCCCCTTCTTGGGACAACATACTGACCATCGCGATTCTGCTCCCTAAGTTTGGGATTCTTGTTTCGTTTTGGTTTTTTCTTTCCAGTATCTTTTTTCCTATATATTTCATCCTGAATTACATAATTGGAAACAATTGGAAAATCTTCATGCATGGGTGCCAAAGAATTGGACATAGCACTAGGTTTTCTGCTGCCCTGCAACCCATGCCTGAATTCAGAGATTGTACTTCCCTGATTGGGCAGATAGGACATAAAGGTAGACAATCCAATTTCCACTGGTAAACTATTACCTGAAATTTTTGGAGCACTTGCAGACTCTTGAGAAGGTGGAACAGTCTCTGAAAGGGGGAGATCTTTTGAAGCAGAACTGACTTCCTCTGGTTTACTTTCATCTGGAATAGGTTCTACAGGCTTAGGTGAAGGGGTCCTAGGTTTATCTTCTGAAATCTGAGGTGCAGAGTCTGCAATAATGAACACAGGTTCTTTCTTAAGTACGCGGTCAGTGGGAAGAGGAGTATTTTCGGGTTTATCTGAGTTGTTTTGTTCCTGAGTTTCCTGTTGCTCTGTGCTTTCCACTTCTTCCTTCGGCTTATTGCCGTCGTATTCAGTATTGCCATCGTCGGAGGAATTTTTAGAGTCATCTCCCTTTTCGGAGGAAGAGTCACTGTCTTTTTTGCCATCCACGTCATCCATCTTCTTGTCTCCCTGAGAACTAGAAATCTTGTCAAATGAAAATACTGGCATAACGGCTGGTTCTGCTATTTCGTCCCTGAGAAATACTATCACTACAGTTATATTGTCTGTGGACCCGTTTTGTTTTGCTAATTCTACCAACATTTTAGCTACACTGGCCTTGTCACCATTGGTTTTCTGCAGATGGTCATATACTATTTTGGGTACGTCATTCTGTGATATACCATCCCACATGCCGTCACATGCCAGGATGATATAATCCTCCGTACCCTCTAATTCTAGGACAGTCGTGTCCGCGTCACTGCAGATAAACTTCTTCTGGCTGATATCTCCTATAAAAAATATAAAACATTTACTAATGCTGTGAAGATCTGATTATATGATTTGTTTCTTTATTAGTGTAATTGGTATGCATAATCAATAAATATTAATCTGTTCAGTTCACAGTCTCCTTAACAGAGAGTTGACTGATTTCCTTCAGTATCAATCATATTACAGGGGTTAAAAAATACTTGATATTGTCTAGTATTATATAAATATAATCACAGGGAAGTACAGAGCAAAATTAACTAATATTATTAATTTTACTTTTTACTTCCTGTGACTTCCCTGTGATATTTCTATAATAAACAAATTCTGTTATTTGATTTTATAGTAAGGTCATTTATAGATGTACATGTATATATAAAAATACATTTTATTGACCAACTTGATAATGAAAGATGCCAATTGCATTGGAGATTAAACTTAAGATAATGCAAAATCTGCAATATAACTCAAATAATGAATTTATGGCTACTTAAAATGGCCAGACAAATGGAAACTAGAAAACTGACCAGTCAGCAAGGGCCCCGCCATGGGGTAGAATTAAAAGGGTGCAGCTTACAGAATGATTAATAAATGTACAAAGAAAAAGCAACAGCAACTGTATTCTTAAAATTTCAACATAATTCCTGAATATTCAAAAACCTGAAAATAATATTCTTGTATTTACATTAGGCAGTAAAGAACAACTTAACATTGAATTTATATTTAAACAATTATGAATCTTGTGTTATATAAAATGCCAGCCTTCAATGAATGCAAATATCATGAAGGCTTGACAATAACTTCAAACAAACAGCAGTTGCAGACAAAGGTTTTCATTAATCTTAAAGTGACAGATAAAGAGAAGCCTACTAAATTTTCTGCAGCAGGCTAGATACTTAATCCCAAAGGATTAATTGTACCTCTCTCATCATTTTCTTCTAAAGTTACGATAAGAACTTTTTCAGTATTAATGATAGAATGGGGTTATTATACAACTACATTAAAAATTAAAAACATTCTTGAATTAATATATTTAAAAAAAAAAAAAAAGAAGGAAAAAAGTGAAAAAAAAGTACCCTGGTAAATCAAAAAATCTTCTTTAATCTATTTCTTTTTTTAGGATTCAATGAAATCATAAATATCAATCAAAAATAAATAATAAAAATTTATATTTAAATCCACATTTCAGAGTGTTCATAGCATTCCAAATTGATTTAACTTCAAAATAAACTTCATTTGCAGACAGAGGTGGTAATTAATCTGAATTTGACAGATAAAGATAATGCTCTGGATTTTCTTCAGGAGGAAAGCTAATTAATCTCATGGGACTCCTAGTAGCATTCAGTTTACTGAATGGGAACATCTTCAGCAGTTATCTCTCTTTGCCAATGCATTCTTATATAAAGTTAAGGAATCTACCCCACCACCCCAGCTCCAAACCAAGGGACATAGAGAACCAAACTTAGCATCAAAATATGTATTTTTGCCTACTGAACTACCGTACCAAATTTGATCTTAATTGGGCAACCATAAAAAAAGTTGCCCGTTATTCTTATGCATAGTTAAGGAATCTACCCCACCACCCCAGCTCCAAACTAGAAGACATAGAGAATCAAACTTAGCATCAGAATATGTATTTCTGCCTATTAAACTACCATACCAAATTTAAACTTGATTGGGCAACCATAAAAAAAGTTATTAGAAAAAAACAGAAAATTTGTGGACGGAAGAGTGACAGACGGACAGACAGACAGACAGACAGACAGACGGACGGACAGACAGAGTGATTACTATAGGGCACCCACAAATCCTTGCGGGGCCCTAATAACAATTAACTTAAATTTTCTTGGAAAGTGAGGGTAAAATCACGAAAAAAAAAATATATTGTACAGTATAAAATGTACATATTAAAAGTAAATATATATCTATCATTTTACTCAAACTGGTGTACAATTGTACATTGTTTACTCACATTATTATGACATAACAAAACTTAATATATCTCAAGTTTCTTCCTTATTCCAATTGCATAATACAACAAAGCATGTTTTTTTCTTTTTTTACATTTATCTATTTCCTGATTCTTCAAACACTGACAGTCAAGAACTTCCCTGTGTAATTTATATAACACTTAACTTCTCATGAAACAACTAATAATATTTTTTTTTTCTTTTTTTATCACAATTGATATCTAGCTGTGAATGTGCGGTCACCTTCCACATTGAACAGCTGTGTCAACAATTGGTGCATATTGTGTTGTACATCAATTATTTCTTCATCAATGAGTGTGAAATTTCCTTATTTTCTAAACTTTCCTTTCTACAGGTATACATGTATTCAAATTGAATTTCAAACTGCTAGCAAATCTTTTTTTTGTCTCTGAGCCAATACTTTTTAAGGAATGAAGTTTATTTCAACTTATACCGGGGAATTATACGATATAACATAACTTGGGGCAGTTTACGCTTTATAAACCGCAAAGCGGTTTATAAAAAAGCGTAAACTGCCCCAAGTTTTGTTATATCGTATAATATAAGTTGAAATAAGCTTCATTCCTTATAATTTAATTTCAGTGCAGACAATGACATTTTTCCCCCAGAATAAGGCTTCACATTGATTATATTTTATATTTTAAAAGTAATGTCAAGCGGAGTAATACGTTTTTTGACGTAACTGATTGTGACGTAGGCAAGTTAAGTTATACAAAATGGATAAAATCTTTTATGCAATCAAATGACGTGTTACAAGTAAAATTAAATTATTTTAAAATAAAGCAAACTCTTATGTTCCATTAATACTTTTGTTAATTCAACTGCAAACTCATAATTATCTCATATTCAGAAATGTCTAATTTATATGTTAGCACTCTAGATAGCATTATTGAAGCTAATTCTTAGCAGCTCATTACACATGTACAAACAGGTACATGTATAGCTTAATTATAACATCAAAAGTCAATACCACAGCAATGGAAGTCTTCACCCTAAAACTTGGCACACAAGTTACCTATCGATCGCGCAACAGAGAGAATGGCATTGACCCTCCAAATGCCCCTGACATTTAGAACGAACCCTCCTAAAGCCTCAATCCTAGCCTGCTCATCCTGTCAAAAAAACGACCATACCTCAATTACTGCAATATCATTCAAATGGGAAACAAAGCCTAAAGTTAGGATTGGAATCTCAATCATTTCTGACTTTTCATAGACAAATGGACATTACATGTCCAATGCCTAGACCTTGTTTCAATTTGATGGGGATTTTCAGTTCTCATTGCATCAATCAATGATTTCAATAATCTCTTAAGCACTTGCAGTTCAAAATAATCAGCATCCTTGTAAAGTGATTTGCGAGATCTGTATAACCAAAAGAGATTTTATGAAATCTAACAGAGAATGTAGTACAGTAATGACATGGGACCAATCCTTCTATCAGACCGTGTTTCCCATTCTTTCTGTGGTTACCTATAGCCCTGGACACAGCCAGATTACCATTAACTCGCCACGTCCCCATGTACAGGACCACTCCACCTAAAGCTTCTATACGGCTTTTCTCATCCTGAAAAATTTTCTTTTTATATTGACTTTTGGCTAGAAAAATTTTACTCTTGGAAAAAGAATTAACGTATGAGTTCTTTCTTTTCCTATCTAATCAGGTCTTTTTTATTCTTTCTGGAATTTCATAAATTTTATCCCCATTTATAGCAAAGTATGCAACTGCTCATATCAAAATCTTTGAGTATCATTTGTAAATGATCCGTCAGTTGCAGAGTACATGTATATGTTCTTACAAATATGTCTCCTGTACATCAAATGCAAGCTTCTCATATGTTACTGTTTAAAAAACAGTCATTTATCCTTACAGTATGTCATACTCATACATACAGCACATTTTCTCTGATGTCTAGGTGTATATAAACAAAAAATATTTTGAAAGACTTGACTTTTTAAATTTAACCCCATTTTCATAAAGAAACATAATACTGAGGAAATTTTACCATCTCTGAAGGTTATAATTATGTGATGAACAAAACATGCAGTTCTAAACATAAATCCTTCCTTTACCTGCCTCTCTGGTTTGTGGGGGTTCATGATGGACAGAGCCTGACCGTCCCTGACCAGACACGCCTGGGAGTCCCCAAGCCATGCCAGGTACATGGTCTTATCTCTGATCAACACCGTTAGTCCAGTGCAGCCACTTTTCAATCCCTAAAAATATCAAAATTTTAAAATTCTCAGGACAGTGATTTTTGTTTTAACTAAATTGTACATTAAAGTAATTAACACTGATTCATTTGTTAAATACAAGCATCATCAATTATGACACTAATAAGTACGATTCTTTGCACCTTAAATCTCTTGTAACACAATCATATATTCTTCAAAGGGAGGTAACTCAGAAAATATCACTTTATGTCATTTAAAAATGGCACACAAAAATATCATTTAAAAGAAAGTTGAACCTCTCTTTGAGCTTTTTTAATGAAATGTTCATCTGTTGCTGAATAGGAACACTTCAGGGCAGATGCTGGATCACTGGAGAACTTCTCACAGGAGGGCAGATGTACATGTAGATGATTGGAGGCGTACACCGCTGCCTCAATCCCAGCATGCCCGTCAAACACACTGTAATACGACTGATGAGGAAAATCCTGAAATAATAGAGTCAACTTATATAGAATAAATATCCTGGTACTTTTAAAGACCACAATTAATCAATATCGATCCATTCAAATCTTATTAGATTAATTACAATGAATTTTATTTTTTCCTTTGTATTGACTGTGAATTCATGAGTGACTGATTATCTTAATTAAGGGATGATTCAAGCTTCACTGGTAAATAAAGTTACAATAGGATGGTTCACTACAGAGCTATACCTCTATTTAACACAATGCTATAGATTAAATTTTAATAAATTGTGAGTCATTATTCGAGAGATGGATTGGAAAGCACACCTTGAGATCAAACAGTGTATTCATGTCTGGAAGCATCACATATCTGTCCTCCATTTTACGTCGAGTATTTTTAATTTCATAATGGTAGCATTCGTGAACCTGAGCTGGAATGGGAATATCTGGCAAGTCTTTGTTCCATTTTTGGCACACTTCATCCACCATGTCAATGATGTGCTCCATGAGTGATGAAGCATCCAGAACTATAAAAGACATCAACTTACAATAAATATACCCCCCAAAAATCATTCTATGAAATATATTTCCTTATTTCAAATTAGATTCTTAAATGTACAAATGCACATAAAAGATTTCAGATGTACAAGTACCTAGAGTATTTTAGTGGTCCAGCTATGAAAAGAAAAATTAAAATCTTTTCTCCAAATACACAGTTTATATGATAATAAACTAGAAGAGAGTTGTAAATGTATTTTATCTGAATGTCTACTAAATCAGCAATTGTAAGTTTTGATTTTATTGTTAGACTTTAACTGGTCTAAGTCTTCAGTAACCACTACCTGACTCTGGACGCTGGATTTCATTGTTGGCATTCTTCTCCTTGTTGGCCTCTTCTTCTGGGTCCGGAGTCTGATCCTCAAACTCTTTGAAGTCTAACTTAGTGGCTTGTTCATACACTTCCTTTGTGATGGCAGCAGCTAGAGTAGGTGGACAATTTCTACAATGAAAAAGATGAAGGTAATGAAAAGTGATCACCCTTACAAAATCTACAGACATTACAATTCTGTGAAAATAGTCCAAAACATGAACCCCTGGAGTTTCTAGAGCTGGGATCAGGTGCCTAGAAGGAGTAAGTATCCCCTGTTGCTCAGTCACAAGGAAACCCCTGTATTGATCAAGAAGATGGAATATTCCATCAACAGAGTGACATTGAGTAGTCTTATAAATTAAAAATCCAACAAGGGTATCCATTTAGATTGCAAAAATCATTTTCCTACAGTATGTACAGAAACACATAATGCAGAAAATTTAACAGGCAAGTTAATTACGCTATTGTTCTTAGTACCATAAACATGATAAAATACATAAAGCACTACGGCTTGGAAAGAAGGTGAACAAACATATATAAGTACATGTATATTACACTTTCCTGTAGTATGTACATGCACATAGACCTCCATGATGATGTATTCATGTACATGTATTGGTTTTATCATAGTACATGTACTGGTATATATAATTCGATCATGTACAAAACCCTTAAGCTTATATTCATGTATATCATTAAATCAAGCAAGATGAAAATTACATATACATGCTGGTACATATTGAATCATATACAGGGGTTTGTAATAGTTTTTTAACACACATCAAGTTCATTTAAGTGTCACCAAATTTGCATAGCCATTTGATATTAACTCTCCATAAATGGATTAAAAATATATAATCTCTGATTTGACTTCCACACCAGACATTTTTGCTGATCGATATATACAATCAATTTCTAGAGTGCCTTTCTATTTCAACACAGATCACCAAGCCCTAATGAAGTTTGATCAATTATGTAAATGAAAAAAAGACTCATCCATTTGAAATTGTATGAACATGAGGTCGATGTACATGCCAAACCTTGTCTATGTACAATGAACTTGCCATTAAGGATGTAGCAATGGTTAATAAATTTGAGGCCCTACATATGCGTACACCTTTCAAGTGTAGGAGATACAAATATGCTCTACAGGGGGTGGATATATCAAAACCTCGCATGAATAAAGATTAATTATGGTTAGTGCCTCACCTCACATTTAAAATTTAAAATAAACATTGAAAATGACCTATATACTCATGTAGTCAGTATCAAACTGAGTTTTAATAAAACCAAGTCAGTGGTCACCTAAAGCAATTCAAATGGGAGATAGTACTCCATAAAGGAAAATCTGTGATGATCTCGTAAAAAACATATGCCCTTGAAACCTATTGCTTCAAGATTAACATGTGCGATAAACATTAGGCATGACTCCAATAGTTTGCTCTCTAATCTTGTTTGAAGAGTGGCTGGATTGGAATAAACTGTGTGGATGGGGTCAAAGAAGTCTTTTTATCTTAACTTTATAGAAAATCTTTAAACTAGGCTAAAAGATAAGTTCTTATAAAAAAAAAATCTGATCTCCTGGGTACACTTCCCATCTTTACATTCTATAAGTAAAATGCATAATCTGATCATGTAGACTTAATACATGAAGGGAATTTGCTTTTGTTATGCGAATACCAAACCCGCATTTATACTATAAGCATTGGAGATGCCTTCAAAGTCTTTAAAACAGAGGAATAAAAAGGCATATGGTATACTTTTTATACTGTACATTCAAAAACAAAAATGGAAAAAATATTTTTTGTATATAACTGTCATAGTCTAAACAAAATAAATCCTTGACAATTTAAACTTCTTGAATAAAATTCTGTTTAATCATATAGATATGTACATGAACATTCTAATTATCAATGGTGGATGAAATGGTCAGAACCTCATTCATATTCTTGCTTGCGATTACATGTACTGCTGGAGCTATACAAAAATTGCTCTGCATTGCTCACAGGAGATTTGAGGAAAACAATACCCTTCCTAAGACCATAGCAAAGATAGATCCCTTCCTAACCCACCCCTCCCCTCTTTATAACATTAAATATTTTGTCAAGGACCTCTTCTGGGAAAGAAACCTTGAATAGTACCTTTGTCTTCACTGAAATATATATGGCATTTGCATGTTCATGATGTCAAAATTTTAAAATTTCTTTTTCTTCTATAATGGCCAAGTGTTATCCGCAAATACAAGGAAAAGTTAGTACATTCAATACTTAATATATTTCTGCTTTGCATATTTTGAAATGGCAATTTCTTCTTTTAATTAAATTTTATCTTGAATATTAGCTAAATATAGTACCTGTGTGTGCTAAACATGCCACTAAGTTGAACGTGTGATGGTTTTTACATGGTAATTTACTTCCAAAGTCCAGAATGCAAGCAAAGTCATCTGCATAATATTTTAAAATAATGTATACAGTAATAAAAGTGCACTCAAATTTTTCTTTTAAAATTTTGCATATGTTATAATTGAAAGGTAGAAGTCGATGCATGGAAAGTATATTGCAAGAGTAACACCAAAGTAACAAAAGTTTATACTTTTTTGAATACTGGTACTTGGAAATATATGTTCTGTATATACAATGTACAGTGTATATGGGGGATATTTCGTTACAACCGGTATATTTCATTTAAGTTTTTTCCCTAAATTTGGGATGTTGATCTTGGTTTTATAAATCATAGAGTCTGGGTATCATATTTCTGAATTAATTATATGTATGTATAATAATAGGAGTTTGAGGCAATATGCATGAACAAAATACACCAGTATATAACATGTACCGTATATACTCGCCTATAAGTCGGTTTTTTGGGAGTTCAATTTTGGTCTTAAAGTCTATGTCCGACTTATAGGCGAGTCATAGAGAGATATGTATTTTTCTGGACGCTGAAATGTAGTATTTCATATGCATTTCCGACGATTATCAAAGTAAATGTCTGGATATGTAAGATAATCTATGTTTTCTTAGATTATACATAAAAAACAAGTATTTACTTACATGTATTTCAATAATTTAATTGTATCTTAAGTGAGCATTACCTGTCTGTTAAATGAGCTAAGATTAAATATCGGTGTTATTCATAAAAAAATTAATTGAAACCAGGTTAAAACATCAAGGATTTACTTGAAATTTTCGCCCAATTTTAGCCAAAAATTGTACCGACTTAAAAGCGGGTCAATAGAAAATTCCACCAAAATAACGTCAAAAAATACAACCGACTTATAGGCGGACCGACTTATAGGCGAGTATATACGGTATGCAGGATGCATTATGTCTCTCTTAGTCCCATAATGAAACCTAAGGTGATTGACCGTTATTGGCGTTTACAACATCCACAATCTGGAGTATATGTAAATTGGGACAAGCACCTGCCTGGAGCATACTGAACTTTATCTACATAAGATAATATATAATCCCTTGTCAAGGAAAATTAATGCAGCTAGCACTAATATTTGCTTCTATTAACTACGACATCGGAACTGTTACAATCAGTATGTAACTCTGGAAATAAAGTTGTTATCTACATACTCAATTATTAATACAGAACTATGATTTGTCAAGAGTCAGCATGGGATCTATAAATAGTAAATGCTGAATGGGCTGTCAAACCTCTTCCTTGTGATGAGGAAACACAGTGAAGCTGTAACACTCAGGAAATCTCCCCTTAACATTCATCTTCCTTTAGCCAACAGAGTAATATATATGCACAAGTCAATCTTTATCCTTCTTCAATGACACCAATTTTTTTTTATGCTTAAAACCCAGATTTTTTTTTCGTTCAGACTGCAGGTGATCAACACCAGGTAAAAAGGGTGTCAGGTTATGTAACATATAATTTACCACTCTTGTTTCAAAGGAAGGAAATAATTTTGTTTGTTTTTTTCTTTCAGTTTAAACACTTTTCAGCATTAAAATTCTGTTTTAAAACTTGTTTACATTAACCAGGGCTCGACATTAACTTTTTTTCCTACTTGTCCAATCGGACAAGTGTCCAAGACATTTACTTGTCCAAACTTCAACTTCACTTGTCCGAAAAATTTTCAATAAAAATATAATAGTTTCAATTTGTAAATTAAAATAAAGTCCATTACACATAACATGTGCTTAATTGATTCGTAATGTTATTGATAAATACAACAAATACATTTATGAAACGAAATTTAATCTAGGCTTTCTGTCCTGACAATAACATAAATGTCCACAAGTGACCCTGTAGACATCAAACAGAATCCACACTTCAGTTCATATCTTCCATGACTTTAGTATCAGTAGTATGTAATATAGTGAACTTTGATCCCGATCGAATATATGCACTCAATATTAATACAGCGACACAAATCGGGATAGAAGTCTGGTTTTTATGTACAGCTTCCATCTTGAAACTACCGATTAGCTTTCAACAGTCTTTCTTTTTATTATTTATAGACTCCTTTACATTAAATTGCACTTGTCCAGTCGGACAAGTGCCCAGCAATATTCACTTGTCGTATTTTCTTTTCACTGGTACCGGACAAGCGGACAAGTGTTAATGTCGAGCCCTGTTAACAAGAAAAAAATTTACGGTATCCGAGAGTTTGAAATACTGAGGTTAAAATACATTAAGTCATTACAAGAGAAAAGGACTACTAGCCCATTTGACAATACATGTATTTTCATGGTATCTAGATATCAACATGCCAGATACATGTATCAAAGTTCATCTGTAATGCATCCATTGGCAAGTATAAATCCTCCAGATATTTACTTTATTAGCAGATGGTTAACTACCTGTGGTACTAAATTCTCTTGTGAAAAATGCATTTTAAACTGAATGGTCAGAAAAATGAAGCTTTATTGGTATATTCTTTCAAAAAAGTGCACATATGACTGAAGAGCTTGTAACCTCAAAGAAGTATTAAAGGTGAATTCTGCATATTAACAAATTATATAATTATGATCTTCAACTTCCCAAAAGTTAACTCAAAGATCAATGAAAGAACAATGAAAGGGATTCTCTTAACTTCTTTCTTTAATAAAAACATTTTTGCCTTCTTTTTGATGCTTCTTATTATAAATTGATTCACATCATCTGCAATGAAGCAGACTTGTTAGCTTTCAATAAATTGAAACCACACGTTTTTTAACAGTTCCAGAGGTAAAAAAAAATCTTGAGTTTGAAAGCTCTACATATAAAGCTTTTCTTTTACATCTAACTTTGATGATAGGTAATATGATAATAGTTAACAATGAGTGAATACCCCCCTTTTTACCTCACACCCATTCTTCCTTGATTGCTGAGAGATGCTCTCTTTTGGTGAGTGAAAGGGCAATTACATCTTATGGGATAAACACAGCACAAAAGTAATATGTAGGCTATACTTCCTAGTTTTATCAAGAAACTGGAAAATTTTTGGACATTTTTTTATGGAAATGTCCAAGAATAAAATAGCAAATAAATTATATGCCAAAATGAAATTAAAATGATCACAGGTGTTTCACAAAACAGGTATATATCAGCAATTCAATCAGCATTATGTATTTGAAATAAAGATATTGTCCCAATTTTAGGATAATAATGCCAAATTTGGCAAGCTCTTTGTTGTATATTTTCCCATTATTAATTTTCATGACTTATGTGGGATCGAGATGCAGACAAGAAGATGGACTCATGGAGGAGGGTAAAATTGAATTTGTGAAAAAGGTGAAAAAAAAAACCTCTCTGTTGTACACACGAGATAATATCCAACAAAATGACGGGATAAAAAAAAAAAGTACGTAAGGGTTGCCCGCAACCCTGTGTCTCGCCTGCTGTCGCTGTGGTTAGTAAGAAATGATTGTCTGATAAACTGAAGCATTTATTGACATTTCAGAAGGAATAACTCAAAAAGTGGATCGAGTCATTTTGCTGGTTTTTAAAGAGATATTGTCATGGACTTAATAAGAACTGTAAAACGTTTCTATCTGGACTGACTATAGGTATATTTTATATGGATTTAATATATAACTTTTGCATACTGATGAACACAACATTTTCCTCTTAGTCAATGAAAAGATGCTGAAATGATTTTAATGAATTACATACATTGTAACATGTCAAGAAAGTTTTAAAATGTTGAAGTTATATTTACTTGATTAATATCTGGAGTCATGTGTAATGCACTGTAAATTCACAAATTATTGTGATGTTTTTATTATTGCGAATATTGCAACGTGTTATGAGTCGCAATAATTTGAACTTGCATTTTGAAATCAAATCCACTGTATATGTATCAAGTCATTCATGCAGAAAATGTAGGTGAAGATTACCTAATTATGGTACTGATATTGTTGGTTACCCATGATGTGTAGACTGACAAATTATCATGCCACTATAAGTTATAGTTGCTGAGATATGGACCTCCACCATAAATTTATGCAAAGTCACTCATGCGGAAAAATGTAGGTCAAGATGACCTAATTCTGGTACAGGCGTTTGTGGTTACCCATGATGTATCCACTGACAAATTATCATGCCACTATAAGTTATAGTTGCTGAGATATGGACCTCCACCATAAATTTATGCAAAGTCACTCATGCGGAAAAATGTAGGTCAAGATGACCTAATTCTGGTACAGGCGTTTGTGGTTACCCATGATGTATCCACTGACTAACTATCATGCCACTATAAGTTATAGTTGCTGAAATATGAACCTCCATTATCAATTTAACCAAAGTCATTCATGCAGAAAAATGTAGGTCAAAATGACCTAATTCTGGTACTGATGTTGTTGGTTACTTATAACCTGTACAATGACAAATCATCATGCCATTATAAGTTATAGATGCTGAGATATGGACCTCCACCAAAAATTTAACCAAAGTCACTCATGCAGAAAAATGTAGGTCAAGATGACCTAATTCTGGTACTGACGTTTGTGGTTACCCATGATGTATCCACTGACTAATTATCATATCCCTATAACTTATAGTTGCTGGAATATAGGTCTTCACCATAAATTATCATGAAAAAACTAAGTCCAACTTAAGGAAAAAATACGGAAAAATTTGAATTTTTTTTTTCAAAATCATACTTGGGATATAAATTTTTATCCATACTGAATATTGTGTCCAAATTTCAAGAAGACTGAATAAAATTTGAGAAAGTTATTGCAGTTTATAAAACTTTGACATTTGGGTTAACCAAAAGTTGGACGCCGACGACGACGACGACGACGACGGAATCTATGGTCGCTATGTCTCGCTTCGCGACATTCGTCGCAGGCGAGACAACAAGTTGCATGTTACAAAAAACACCTGTGAAATGACAAGCTCTTCGGGTTACATCAGTGCACTCACACAAAACACACGGATCAAACTCACTCTAATCCCAAGTAACGCAAACTCCAATCAAAACACTCTCCCTGTAACTCTTCTATTGTTAAATGGCGAGTTGGAGGCCTAAATGGTAACATTTCACTGTCATCCTCATTGTCTTCGATGCGTTTACAAAATGCTGCTAAGAAGCGCTGAAACGACGCTCTGTCATTCGTAAAGGGCTCCTCCATCTCGACTGCTATGTTTGTCATGCCATGAATATTATTGTGCACATAAATTGTGACGTATATTTTCTTGTGTATTTACCCGGAAGTGAATGTCACATGTATATTTAGCGGGAAAATGTGAACGATAATTTCGTGCACGCACTTGTTAACGTATCAGTAGACAAAGGGACGACTTTATACAGTAATTACTGGTACATGTACATGTACAAAGATTCAGGATATACACATAAATTCAAATCATGAAGTGAGTATATTCAAACTTAGATATTTGTGGCTTGATCTGAATGATTTACATAAAGATTACATGTGTGCAAACACTGAAACAACACTTATAGGGGTTACCTGTAGCAGAAGAGTATTGCATGTTGGTGGGAAGAGAGAGGGGGATAGAGAGAAGGATGTATCAGACAATTTCAGTAAACTTGTACTGCAAATTGGGTCAATACAGTGGAGTCGCCAATTCCGGGTCGTCTCCAATTCCGGGTCACTCGCGTGTATTTTATTACTAGTGTTAAAATTTAAGCGCAAAAAACTTAATGAATACGCTGATCACGAAGAACTGGGCTTTCTGTATATAATTAATTACAAAATTTTGAATATAAACTTTAAGAGAACATCCGACAATCGAAATTCTGAAATGCACGCATTAAAGACTTGGATGTTTCTGCTGCGGTGACGGGCTATTTTCGTTTTTGTTCGCTGCAGAAAGGCTGATATAAAAGTTCTAGATAAATAATGATAGCTCGAAATTATGGCAAATGCATTTAGTTTTAACTTAGAAATCAATCATAATGATCGCTGCTCAAATAAAAGTATAATTATTATTAAATCAAACTGTAGTAGTTTCTCCAATTGCGGGTCACGCAATCTCGTGGCAAGAACATGTCAAAATTCTATGTACAAAACCAATCGACAACCATGTATTTACCTTGATTTTCAAAAGTATTCTAACAACAAAATATTTTTTTCTAAAAATTAAAATCGAGTTATCCCTTCAAATGCATTTTTTAATAAATGAATTTAATTGTATTATTTTTAATCCTAATACATTTTTTAATTCGGCATCAGTTTTGTTGTAATTGTTTTAAAAATAATTTAAACATATTTCTGTGGTTGTTTCACTTTTTTCCGAGCTGCATGAATTGTTTTATTTTTCAACAAGAGCGAAACGTTCCATGAATATTACACGACCGTGAAGTTGACCCAATGGAGAAAGTTTTAACTAGGCCCACCCCTGTAAATTTTGTTCCCGTGCAGCTATTCTGAAAAATTCAATTTGTTCTCAATACATAATTGCATAAAATATTTATTGAACAGATTTGCAAAATATCAAAGAAACACCCTGACGTGACCCGGAATTGGCGACTTCACTGTATAATTTAAGCAGTATGGTCCCGCCCTTTTGATATATCAGAATATGGGCGGATCTAACCCAGGGGTCAGCAATAACAAAGCCGCAGAGCTATACTTTTTAAATATTACATGAAAGATCATAACTGATTATACGTTACTAGCCTAGTATATTTCGTTCCTGACCCACAAAGAATTAAAGAGCTTTTGAATTTTCTGTTTCAATTTTTCTCCATGATTTTCAAGCTCAAAATGAATAAATTTTATAAAAGCAACAGTTAATAAAAATAAGAGGCCCATGAGCCACAACGCTCACCTGAGTAACTTTGGGCCTGCTGTTCTTCATGCACCTGATTGTCCCCGTGTAATACTTATTGTGGTCCTCCCTACCCTGGGGGCATGGTTTAAACAATTTAGAATCTACACTACCTTAAAAAGCTTCGACATACACTGTAAATTAATTAAATCTTTTCTGGCATTGTCGTTTTTAAGAAAGAGTTTGCAAGATTTCCCCCTTATATTTCTATGTAAACCTAAGTTTTAGGATTCCCTATTGCACGGCCATTTTCTACCAATTGAATTGAGCTTTCAGTTCAGGTAAGCTAACAAACAAAACCAGTCAACTGTTCAGAAAACATTCATTGTTATGTATTGTTTAATAAATAAATATCTAGAAAAATATACAATATATTATAGATTGTATGATACAAATACTTATACTAGCATTATATTCATATTGTCATCACGGTCGCCAGAATCCCTTCTCTGTGGTAGATCCAGCACTGGCTTCTACTGAAGACTCTAAATTAAAAGACTAGGGCCAGATAAACTTCCGTCTGACGATTCCTCATTACTGGTGAACAGACAGACACGTAGATCCGGGGAAGTGTTTAGATCAATGTCATATCTTCCAGAGAAAAGTAGCTCATCTGGAGAAGGGTATTTTTTGTTCAGAAATGGAAGAGGAGTAGAAGTTCTTGTTGATTTTTTAGCACTATGATTAATGGGGGTGGAGGTCAAAAGGGGTTTATAACTCTGCAGAAAACCGTTTCTTTCTTTTGAATTGTTTCGGCCAATTAACTGATTTTCCTTTTCGTTTGTTCGTTTTGTAATGTTGTCGTTTTCTTCTAAGACGAAAACACGCGGACGTGAAGGAGAGTCGCATGTATTGCTGTTTGATCCCATGACATCAGTGTCAATATCAAAGTCAATGATTTCTCTGCCGCCATTGTATTCACATTTAAAATCGGGGGTGTGAAAGATGTGTCCTGGATAAAATCTTAGATTTATCTGTCCTTGCAGATTGTCAACGGCATTATTTCTTCGCATACATTTGAAGGGATCCACTTGATTTTCTGGTTCTGGTGTGCCAAATCCCCCATGATCCTCCAAACGTTTACCTATACAAAATCAAATAAGTAAAATGGTTATGATAACTGCTAATGAATTCTTTATATTTCTGATACTGTAAGATTTGAAAAAAAAAAACACTCTAAGCCTTTTGGCTTCATTTTATACTTACAGTGACAGGGGCCTGTAACATACTGTATTTGATTTTACGTAATCACTATATGTATACAAAAAGAGATTTGTATATATATATATATAGTGATTACGTAAAATCAAAAACAGAATGTTACCGGCCTCTGTGCTTACAATATATATCCAGCTATAGAAAGTGGTATACCTACATGTAACACATGCAAAAATATCAACAAGCATCATTGTAAGACTATATTTAATCTGTATTTTTTTTAAAAGCATTACACAGAGAATATTAAATACTAAATTCCACATCATATGTCATATCAGCCCGAGTGGCCCCATATCAGCCCGAGGGCCGGCTGATATGACATGATATGGATTTTAGTATGTAGTATTCTATTTATAATATATTTAAAATACCTAATATACGAGTTCACGTTAAGTCATAGAAGAATGCTTTGTGCATATTTAAACGATCTTTTTCTTTAAATTTAAATACAGACAGTATTAGGTAATTGAAATAAATAAGCCCACAAATGTTATTACTGAATTATTTCACAAATATAATTAAATGAAATCAAGTAAATTAACTTTAAAACTTTTTACAAGCGTTACTTTCGGTTTGATAGGGATTTTCTGCCCGCCGGTCCCATGGGTCCGATACGTGGATTTTCGGACCGGTCCTTGATATGGGGTATTGTGACGTCATCCGTATCGCACCGTGCAGAATCGGTGTATTTACTACTAAGTATATGATAAAAGATAATAAACAGCTGTAAATGTAACAAATATAATATTTTTGATTTTTTATATATTGATTACCGATATTTTGCTGATGCATTTCAACCAAGTGAACCAATTGTCATTTTCAGTTTGTCTACTTTCTCCATTTTTGCAAAACGTTTTTCCTACAAATGAAAAAAAATCATATATTTAAAAAAAAAATAGTAATCAATTTTTTATGCATATTTCTTATTTTAAATGACGAGAGAAGGTAAATGAAAAAAAAAATAGTGGAAATTCATTGAATGCAAGCGTAAGTTTCTCAAATACATATTATTTATGATATAAATTATAGATCACTGAATTCATACATCTTTGCCCTTTGCCCTCATTACAATATTCTTCAGCTGCACGAGACATTTGTTGATCCTGTTTTTTCGTCGCTTCTCTGTGATTGGCTTGCTGACCTGAGTAAAGTGAATTGGCATACAAAAAAAAAAATTATATAAACTATATGAAATCTTGTTTTTAATGATACAAACGATTTGTACAAATGTGCGCGTGCGTTATGAATTTTAAGAATCGTTCAAATCCTTTATATATATGTACATCATTTTTTTTCTGTAATTAAAAAAATTAGGCATTTTACCTTACTGTCAGTTTTAGGAATATCTTCATTGAACAAAGACGCATAATGCTTCATCAGTATTTCAGCCACTGAATTCTTTGCATTTTGAACCTCCATTCCTTACAAAGTACGTTTATTTGACGTATACAATGCTTGGGTTGCTTGCATGTGGAACGCAAGGATTGGAATTAGAATTGGTTGTTCGCAGATCTTATTTAAACTTTTTTTCACAAAGTTTACTTAATCAAAACAGACATAAGTATATTTCATTTGAGTAGTAATAGACACTCTCTGCAAAACGGTTAGCATTGTGGCATGTCATATTAAGTGTTCAGTAATTATGGTAAAATAGCAATTAATAAAGCATTGTTGTTGTTGTTTTTTTACGTGATTACTCCAGTATCTAATCAATGTTTTCTCTGTAATAGATCGTCCAGATACTGTATCTGCATGTTTTCATATTTGATTAAATTTCTTTGTTATCTAGAATCAAGGACAGAAAATACAATATAACTTTTGTCAAAAATCTTGAAAATAATAACTTGTTATTTGCAAGGGAATAAAATTATTGCCGCATATATTTTCATTTGTTATTCAAAATTTCACAATTCTGGGATTTAATTGTTTTGATTAATAAGAATGGTTGCTAGAATGGTGGCAATTTGAACATCATAGAAAGTTAATAATGTCTTTATTCGGATCATTTACGATCAATATACATGTAGGTCAAAAAATACATAAATACCAATCGAGGTATCCGTTTTTGGTTTGTGCCATCGGTCCTTTAGTTTTGCCTCCTTCGTGAATGCCATTTTTTTTTTGAAAATGAGAATATCTACGTGTACGAGTATAACTGTGTTATTTTTTTTCTTCGTGTTTTTTTTTAGAATTGGTTAATTATTTAAAGATATGTACTTTTCCAGGGATCGGAAAAATGTTTTTAATTTGACTTTATACATATGAAATGAACATTCGTCAAAACTCTGTAAAAATGTATTTATTATTTTAATTTATTTACTATATCCAATAATCACACGCATTATACTTGTACCTGAAGAGATTATTGACTTCCGATCATCTAGAAAAGGTTATAAAAAGTTGTACTCCAGTTTCATGGATTTTTAAAACTGACGACTAAAAATATTGCGATTGCACAATGGATCAAAGAATCTGATATATAATTCGAATTCGAATGATGACTATGGATTTATTATTATCTTTTCCCTAAAATTACTTCTAACATTTCTCGTAAAACATATCGTAATCTTGTAGATAGTAATAAAATAAGGGTATCGTCTCCTATAATATTCTGTCGCGGTAATCAAATACATGTACATGTGATTCATTTATTTCCATTTGTTTCATAAATCTGAACAAAGTAATCTTGACTAATTAACGGTTTAATTATAATTAATTTCAAACAAAGAAAACACAATATATATTAATAGATTGGGGAAAACTATCAGAAAAACGATACATCCTGAATCCGTTACACAAATTAGTAATTAGCGTGTCGAACTCCTAATTAGAGTCATCTGGTCAGTATCACTATACCGTTATACTAACTGTACTGTAGAAGTATTACAGGTAGTAAATACTACTCCAGCGAAATATACTACATGTATATAAGTGAGTTGTTATTTGTTTTTCATCACAACAAATTTTTCTTAACACAAGAAAAAAAACCCAAAAGCTTACAGATAGAACGCATTGTTTAATTAGGAATGGAGGTTCAAAGGTCCAAGAAATCAGCTGGTGGGAAATTAATGAAGCATTTTACAGCGAATGTTGGCGCGATTCCAATCATTGGGAACAAGGTAAAAATAAGAAAAAAGAATAAACTCCTTTGATTAATACACACAAAGAGAAAAATAAATGTAGCTAGAATAAAAATTATTATTAGTTAATCTCTTCATTACTTCTTTTTAATATATTGCCACAAAATTGTACCAAATAAATAAATGAAAAAAAGAAAAGAAAATGGACAATATTCACTTTCCTTTTGAATAATGTTATTTTATTAATTTCATTTTACTCAGGCCAGCAAGCCAATCACGGAGAAGAGAAGAAGAGACAGGATCAACAAATGTCTCGTGCAACTGAAGAATATCGTAATGAGGGCAAAGGGCAAAGATGTAAGTTAAAATTCCTACTGCCCCTACTGTTTTTCCCCACCCCATTCATATCTCGTAAGCTTTTGGAAAAAAGACCGTTCCCTACTTCCTCTGAATTTCCTCACTGTTTGTTAATAGTTTCCTTAACGTTTCCCCAGATTTTTATACCCAAATCTTTATACATTCTTTTTTTTCATGTAGGAAAAACGTTTTGCAAAAATGGAGAAAGCAGACATACTGGAAATGACGATTGGCCACTTGGTTGAAATGCATCAGCAAAATATCGGTAATGATAATTTTTAAATATGTATGTTAATGTGTATGGTAAAACCTTTTCCGAAAGGCATCCTTTCCATGCTTATTTATTTTTAAGTTTTGTGTGCGCATATATTTTATTTTAACATGTTGTTTGATTAATTTACGATTTGTTGAGATGGCTGCTTGTTGGTGTTTGGTTGGAAACACAAACGAATTCCCACTTTGTGAGTACTAAAAAAAACCATCAAATTCATTTGCAAAATAAAGTGCTTGCCAAATCTATATTTAAAATAACATATTTTTTCAATTTAATTCATACAACTTGTTTTTTGTTTATCAGGAAAACGCTTTGTGGATCATTGGGGTATTGCCACGCCACAGCCTAAAATTCCAATGGATCCGTTCATAGGAATGAGAAACAACGTAAGAGGGTACACAAATCAGGGTTTTCATCCAAGTGAGCAATTCTACACCCCTGCTTATAAATGTGGATACAGTGGCGATAAAGAAATCATGGACGTCAATTTTGAAACTGATGACGTAATGGAATCAAGCAGCGTTATGTGCGGGTCTGCATCCCGTGTTTTCGTCTTTGTAGAAAATAAAGCTACAACACGCACGCAATTCAAAGAAGATCAAGAAAATTTGTCAAAGGAATGGAACCGTTTTCCCCACATTCACGACCCTCTTTTGACCTCTACCCCAGTGGACGTTAGTGCTATTAAACCAATCAGGACCTCAACCCCTCTCGACCTCCCGTCTCAGAAGAAAACATTCTTTTCTCCAGATGAGTTGCTCTTGTCAGGAAGGTACGACATTGATCTAAACACTTCCCCGGATCTACGTGTCCGTCTGTTTACCAGTAATGAGGAATCATCTGACGGAAGTTTAGGAAGAAAATCTGTCTGTGAGTCTACCAGTGCAGAATTGTCCTCAGAGTCCTCCTCAAGTGGCGGATCTAACAAGGAGAACAGTCTCTGGAGGCCATGGTGATATGCAGGCGTTGAACACTATTAACTAATTTGTAAAAATACAGAATGTATATAATTGTAGATAATAATTTATTTCTTCTGTACATGTCCTGTTGATATCACTAATTTATTACGAATAAATGTAGATCTGCTCAAGCAATTCAATGTTTATTGAATTTTATATAAGGACAAAGGATGCTTGCAGAAATATATCACAGTGCCAGCAATTCCCAGACCTCCACCCCCCAAACAACCGCACGGTGAACTGAAAACCCACTTGTATACACAGGGACTTGAGACAGTCCAAGCAAAATCGGGTATTTATATAGTATATAATAGGGGAGAAGGGAAGTTTGAATATTTTTTTCTAAGTTTTAATGAAGTTAGGTAAATGATTAATTTATGATAATAAAGGACAACATTCTGCCTTTCGACTGGCAAAACTTTTTCGTGTTTTATTTTAATAAAAATCGAGGTTTTGAATGTTTTGAGAGTTTGAAGCGATTCACCGAGGAATTAAGGTCAGACGACACGTTCCTCAAAAATATATAACTTTTCATAAGAAATTGTCATTGAAGTATAGGTACTTAAACAAGTTTCCTCACAAAAAATTAGGGTACCTTACTAGGCATTTGGACAAGATATCACAGGGTCATATTTCTTATAAAAACCCTTAATTATGAGTAATCTTCTGAATTGCCGAAATCATAATTTTTGGTGTACTTATATTTAAAAACGTTTTGAAAACCATTTAGAAGTCACAAGAGAATGTCAAATATGCATATTTTTCATATAATACCAAGAAATACAAAACATATATTTGAGGAACCTGTCGTCTGACCTTAATGGCGGCTCGTTAGGTCCATTCTCCCCTATTATATTATATAGGCCTACCCGATTTTGCTAGGACTGTGCCAAGTCCCTGTGCTTGTATATTTCTGAAAGAAAACGTTGACTTCTAACAAATATTTTGGTTTAGAGGGAAATGGGATTCACACTTCTGGAAAGATATTCTCTATAAAGAAATTTATGTTTTGTTTTTCATTAAACGCCCCCCCCCCCCCCCCCCCCCCCCGGCATGGGGAGTGCCGTTAAAACGAGCAATCAATTTTTCAATAGATAATATTAAAATGAAAGCCAATCTTTGAACAAATCAAACAGACAAGAGATTTTTTGTCTCCAGTCTCCTTATTATCATCTTCCCAAGATGCATTGTTATTAGAGATTAAGTAAAGAGAAAAGGCATAACAATTTATCTCGCCACCTGCAGGTTGTAGGGTGTTGACTGATGTGAAGCATCGAGTCCACCTGGCAGGAATTTACTTTTAGGATCGGGCTCGTTGTTCATGAAATCAAGTGACGCAAAGTTGCGGGAAGAAGAAAATTCTACGGCACATATTTGGGTATGATATTCAAATGAAAAAAGTCATCAGCGTATTTTAAATGAGGAATCTTTTTCGCATATTTAAAAGAAACTTTGAATAGACTAGCTTTATTTGTTTAATCTGATTAATAAGCACAGGTGTTGGCAATTTTAACAACAAAGTCAGTAATCACTCGATTGACAATGTTTACTAGGCCATGAGCTGATCAGACTACTAATCTTCTACTATGCGTGAGAATAGCGAACTGTTCACTATGTAGCTGCAGAACTGTAGCATTGTGGTGTTATATTTTAGTCTTTGACCATAACGCTACAGATCACGTGATGGAAAAAATGCGCACTGTTGGGGAGAATATTTCTCCACTTTCTAGCATTGGTCAATCATTTACTTTCACTTCCTAAGTCTAGACACATACTTTAACCAACATATATATTTTAATTACTTTCCAACCCTTTTAGTCATCTCTACAGACTCGATTCATGATCGATTTTTTATTTTTTAGTCAGATTCACAAAATTCAAAACAAGCGAGTTTTTAGAGACAACTATAAAGGGTTGGGAGGTGGATAAATTATACAGGTTAAATATAAAATGGGTCTTAAACTAGGGAGTGATAGATGGATGATTGACGAATGCTGGAAAGTGGAGAAATTCTCCCTAACAGCATGCATAAAATCCATGAAAATAAATGACAAACCTATCAGAATAACTTCCTTCCAGTGAGCTTTGTGAGCGAAGTGACCTGTGATCGCTATATATGCTCACTGGTAGGATATTTGCCTTTTTTCATTTACTGTAAACCAACTTTTATTCGCGACGAATTTATTTTGCGATTTACTGGGGGTAAACTAGTTCGTGAAGATTAATTTTGCAATCAAGCTTTTTTGGCTCTGAAATATATGTTATTACTAGACACAGTGACTTTAAGAACCGGTTTGTGGCTAGAATTATTCTGATGACGAGACTGTCGTGTACCTCGCGAAAATTTCTCACACACAAATAAAAGTTGGTTTACAATGTTTTCACTTTTTTGAAAAAATTGCCAACTTGTGTGATGCAGTAGTTGCAGGACTAATTAAAGTCAATAATTCCCCCTCCCTCCTGACAAAAAAAAATAATAAGTGTATTAAACATACAGTTCACTGGAAATGCAGTAGTAAGTGTACACAAATTATATATGAATTAAGTTTCCTTTCCAATTGTATTTTACAGGTAGTAGAGATTTTGTTCTGTCGTGATGGAAGAAAATGAGGAAATGAAAATTTTGAAAACTTCACTAAAGAGATGGGAGATAAAGTTTTATAAAGAAAATGGCAGGAAACCCCATAGGGTAAGAGATCAAAATTAAGTAATTACTGTCTAAATGAAAGTTTTGGCAAGAAGCAAATTTACTGATTTATTTTCAAAAATTTGGTATCTGTTTTTTAGGAGAGGTGTAATTTTAGTGGAATTTATATTGCATGAAATATAGCTTTTACCAACAATATGGAATGAATTGTCAGCAGTATTTTCAAATACAGTGATCTCAACACCATAAGGAATAAAATTTATCCTCTCTAGAAATCGTTTATACAGTACTGTATACAGGGTTATTTTCAAAAACGTGTTATTTTTTTTGAACTTGTGTAATTTTGCCCCGAATTTATATTGCATGAAATATAGTTCTTTTAAGAAATCATGAGGTGTAATTGTCACCAGTATTTTAAATTCGCCCAATCACCAGGAGAGGAATAATGTAAAAATAAAACCTCTCTAGAAAATTTCCCTGTATATAGTATATAGTTAAAGCAGTATTTTGATGGAGCAGGTTTTTTTTTTCATCTCTCCAAAATGTGGATTTAAATATAAGGTACATATACACTATATGTTACTGTGCATAAATACATGTGTATTTGCAAAATATATTAGAGCAGTTTTGAAGTAATGTATCTATGTATAATATATAATTATTTTTAAGGATGAGATCAAGACAGCGCCACAAGAGATTCAAGGTAGTTAATTTGCAAATTTTTATGCTAATATATATTGCACTTATTTTCATGTTCAAATAAATATTCTTGTAAAAATAGAGTTAAATTTTGTTTATTTTTCTTTAAATATATAAATTTTCAGATGCATACATTCAGTATGGTAAACTGAAGAAAAGCTGCACTGGGCCCCAGGTATGTGGTTGATTATACATGTAGCTGCAATGATGTAGCCCTCTCCAATAGCTTGTATCTGATGCCCCCCTCCCCCCTCCCCCAAAGGAGAGATCTACATTATTGCAGCTAGTGGTTGATTGTTGATTCGCTTTAAGCATGATAATAAAAAGATCTCAATTTAAAAGTTTAGCCTTAAAGAGGTAACTACAGTATTAGCAAACTGAGTTTTAAGTTTTACTTAAGAATCTGACTCCGGGATCATGAAACATTGTTTAAAGCTTAAGTCAAAATCTTTATGTTCTACTTAAATTTTATGGAAGGCAAACAGGTCAAAATTTCAATATGTTTAAATATTGATTCATAAAAATGTTGTCATTTTCAAATTTTGATATTAATTCAATAATTAATAAACAAACATTTTATAGGCGATTGAAAATTTGAGTTAAGTCTTAAGTCTGTTTCATAATCCTGGGGCCTGTTTTGAGTGCGAACAAGATGATTTCCTAATGTTAAATCTTTTATATGAAAGCTGTTTTTGTCACTCAAATGACTATTTTTGGATGCTAACTTTTAATAAGTGTATAGTACTGTATAATTATCCCTTTGCAACAGAGTTTGAGAGGATTTAGTAATTTGATTTTGTGTGTGGGTGGGTGGATTAGTTTGTCAATGTGTGTGTGTAATAGAAGTCCAAGAGATTTTGTAATTTGCTTTACGATATATGTCAAACGCTGACTTGATTTAAGAAATACCAGTATGCTCTCTTTTGTGAGGGGATGCTTTGCTTTGCAATGCCCCTGTTCATGCAGTTTGATCTTTCATAAGTAAATGTTTGATACTTGTATTTCAGAAGCCTATAGTTTCTGAAAACAGTGAGGAAGCTGAAGAAACAGCCAGTGAATCACATCAGTTTGCAAAAGATGGAGTCTGGGGTACAGTTTTCAATAAAGGAAACCAAGAAACGTCAGAAACCCACACATCACCAGGACCAGCTGAAGATGGAACAAAAACAGAGGCTTCAAACATGATGTCCAAATTAAGTCTCAAATTGTTTGAAATGGCCAAAAAAGATAAAATGACTGCTACAAAAAATAAGTCTAAATTTAAACAGAATGAAAGTGTACCAGATGGAGAACTAGTAGAGCATTCACTGATGGTAAAAGGAAAGATTTTCAACAATTTAAAAATTAAGAATAAGAATTTAGTAAACGAATCATCTTTGGATAAGCAAGAAGATGTAGATACATGTATTACAAAGAAATACAATTTGGAGGCAAGACAGAAATTTTCTGTTTCCATCAGTGCAAAGCTTAGTTTGAGTGATGAACCTGAAAGTAATGGTCCAATATCATCAACAACTGAAAAGGCAAGCAAAGATGGAGAACAAGCTTGGGAGAATTTTGATGAAGTGGATGGACTCAGTTCCTCTGTGTTTGATTCAGAGAACACATGGACCCCAGAAATCAAGAATGAAGAAAAAGGAGGACAAAGCAAATCCAAATCATATCAGAGACCTAACGTCCCGAAGCAAGTAGTGGGAAAGAATGAAGAGCAGACAGGCAATATGTCCTTGAATGAGAGTGCTGAGTTCAGAGATGTGAGATGGGACAATGAAACAACCCACATTGTGGGAAGTGAAAGTAAAAGTTCATGCAATGATTTTGGTTACTCAAAGAAGAGGACTTTGGAAAGCAGGGACAATAAAGAAAATAGTGAACAAGAGAGTGAACATAAGAGTGGATCTAAGGCGTATGAATTCAATGCTTCTGATGCTGAAGATGTTCCCATAATTCCAAAGCAGAACAGGAAGAGGAAGAAGGCAGAAACTAATCCTAAATCCAAGAAAAGAAAACTTGAAAGTGAAGAGGCTTCAGAAGTGAGATATTTCAGAATTTCAACAATAGTGTCATAAAAATTTATTCACAATTAAGCTATTACATGTATAACCAAAACAAAAAATTAACTGTATAATTTCATGAAATCCTGATTAATTGTTCTTGTGTATTTTCCCCTTTAGTCAGTGGATGCTGATGATAATGATGGTGCACCATTAAAACCCAAAGTGTCCATGTCTAAGTGAGTAGAGTATATCCTCACTGTTCTTAACTCACTACATGTAAATCATAGCTCAGATCAGTGACTAAATGTCTCTTTGTTTTGAAATGCATTTATAATCATTTCATAATATTTTTAATATTTTCATAATATGATATCCTGCATATTTTAGGAACTGTAAAAATTGAAAGACTATGTGTAACTTTGGGAGTGTTTTTCACAACATTGATAATGTTTTTGGCATTTTTAGAAGTAAACCCCCTCCTTCCTCTGTTGGAAATTTTGTGAAGCTGAACATGAAAGTCAAAACGTATAAAAGAAAAGGCAAAGGGATGTCAGGGCCCCAGTACAAGAGATTCCAGTGGAAACAGAAGATGAAGTCACGCAGTGAAAGCTATGGAAACAACTGCTTCAAGTGTGGTAAACCTGGCCACTGGGCTAACAAATGTCCAGGTAAGTTATAAACTTTCTGATTCTTCTTGTAATTTTGCTTCCCTTGACTTTATGCTGTTTTGCGTCTTCAGGGCCCAATAAGATGTGGGCTCCCTATATTTAATATACCTTGCATCTTGTTTGTCTTGTTTGTACAACTGATATCTTTTAACAATTTTATGTGACTTGATAATTTGAGTTCATATATATATATATATATATATATATATATATATATATATATATATATATATATATATATATATACCCTAACCCACGAATTTACATCCCCACAAACGTATTTACAAACATTTTTATTTATTATTTGTTAAAAGTTACGATTACACAGACTATTTTATATCGTAAAATAACCTTTACCTTTATTTCCGTGTGATCACGCAGAAAAAATACATTCTGTATGTGTTTATTGACACAAAACCAAAATAAAAAAAAAATTAAGTATCATAGAATCGATAAATATGTACAGTAAGTAATAAATTAAATACAACTGTTAAATTTAAGCAGTGTTTACATTATAGTCCAACACGCTCAAATGCCCCTTTAATGAGGTCAATTTTCAGTGCGATTTTGTAGTAGGTGCTAATTAGCTAATTAGCTTGAATTGGTTTCAGGTGTAGACGTTTTTAAGTCAATTTTGGCATTAATTGTCCTCGTCGTTCTCATCTAGAGATTTAAGTTGTTTTTAATAATCGTAATTTGCTGCAACATCACGGCGATATTTCTCTGGTGCAAGCCACTGGTACATTTTTGTGTTCACAAGAGAGATAACTTAAATAAGTAACATTGACGGAGTTCCTTCTTTTTTTAACTTTGGGGGAAAAAACGAAATGGAACTTGTTACCAACAAAATTATGTCCCCACGAACCAGGAAATTTTTGGCTACCCATGAACATTGACCCCCACGAATAAAAATGATTCCACAGTATATATAGACTATATAATGCACTTAAAATTTGAATTGGACTGATAAAACTAATAAACAAGACAGTTTCCCTAATAAAAATTCACTTTTTAGGTCACCTGAGTCACTCAGGTGACCTATTGCCATCCGTGTTTGTCCGTCGTCGTCCGTCGTTCGTCGTCCATCGTGTGTTAACATTTGAACATTTTCAGCTTCTTCTCTGAAACCACTAAACCAATTTCAACCAAATTTTGTATACAGCATCTGTGGGTGAAGGGGAACAAAAATTGTGAATTTATCCCTGCCCCCCTGGGGCCTGAGGGGTGGGGCCAAAACCACTAAAATTAATGCAATCTTTAAAATCTTCTTCTTTACTCCTGGACATCAAGCAGTCAAACTGTTTGCATGTTTGTAATCAGCAATGAGTCCTCTACCAAAATTGTGAAATTCCTGGCCCTGGGGTCAGGGGTTCTAGTGCTAGGGCAGGGCTAAATAAGTATATAGTGAAAATGCATTATTTCTTTGAAAATCTTCTTCTCTGCTCCTGGGTATTAAATAAACCAACTAAGTACATAGTTATGATGAGCAAGAGTGCCTCTACCAAAATTGTGAATTTTATGGCCCCAGTAATATAAAGATTCTGGTGAATTGATAATATAGTGAAAATACATGAATTCTTTGAAAATCTTCTTCTCTGCTCCTGGGTATTAAATAAACTAACTAAGTACATAGTTATGATGAGCAAGAGTGCCTCTACCAAAATTGTGAATTTTATGGCCCCAGAGTCAGGGGTTCTTGTTTTGGGGTGGGGCTCCAATGATTATATAGTGAATTGCATGAATTCTCAGGGATTTATCAAGGCTGTTTTTACTACCGGTAAACGGTACCTTTCCCCTCTTGAAAAAGGTGCGAAAATTCCCCTTTTTCAGATAGAAAATTCTCCGATTAAAAGGAGAATTTCAATATTTAAAACATCGTTCTGAAATTTTCCGTTGTTTAACAGCATATCCTAAATTACCATCCTAGTCATTCAAACGCTTTCAAATAAAGAATAGATTATTCAAGCTTTTATTTGATATTGATCGGTAAACATGTGCCAAGTCCATGATGTCGAAAGATACGTATGCTTTTGCAGAATTAAAAAGAAAAGTGTAGATGAGTAAGATGGAGCTTATATCACTATGAAACGAAAGAATGGAGTAACAACAAAAACAATGTTAGTAGTGAAACACGAGAAACAGAATTGATTTGTGATAGATATTCAGAGAAAAAGTTAAATCAAGTACTGACCTGGTTTAAATTTTTTTTTTGTTATTTATATTTTAATATTTTGTCTAAAAAGTGAAGTTTTTGTGGCCTTTGTAAAGGTCTACAAATGACCCTCAGAAGCTCTAAGAATGCAGGATTTTGCTCCATTTATTTAAAAATTTTCCGGGGGGGCATGTAAACAGGTTAAAATTTATGGTGCGCCTCCGGCGCTCAGATCAAGCCTGCGGCTCTCATTTTTCCCCTTTACATATAAAACGGTAGTTAAACAAAATAGCTAGATAAATCCCTGATTCTGTGAACATCTTATCCTTTGCTCCTGGTTAATGTGCTAATGATCTAATTACATATTTAAGGCCAGGATTTATTTTATTTTCAGTTTTACAAACCCTCCGCTCAAGGTTTTGAATTTTCAGAAAAAAATATAAAAAATTTCTTTCCGATGTCAAATTTGACTTGCTTCAGATTTCAAATTTACGAACTCGCACTTCCGGTTTTACGATGAAACGGCGGGTAAGCTTGGTTTAGTGTAAAATTCATCGATAAGAGTGCCACTCAAAACGTTCCCGTTCAAAGGACAAATAAAATGCTGACAACTTTGTTGCACAATGACATGCTGGTGAGATAATTATATATTCGTTTCAAAAGTATCTGTCTGTAAATTATTTTCCTCCCCAGGTTTTAAACTGCCTGTGGTAGCTATTGCATATTGCCAGCGACATTGTTTAGGTCTCTGTTGTAGCTTACAGTATCATTCTTCAGAAAAGGGTTGCTTATGCATCAGATGTAATGAATAAAACTATGGGAGAAGTTAAGTCCATTTGAGGAAGAAATAAACAATAACCTGAAGAAATAAAAAAAAAGTAACTATTAAAAGGCAAGAATATACAAATATATACAGGCATATAGTATCATTTGTATCAGCCAGAAAAATTATTTCACACTTAATTGCAAAAATGTTCACCCTACTCCCCAATACTCCCTGTCTGTTTTATGATAGGAATTATAATTTGAGGCATCAAGTAAATTTTAGAACAATGTCTACACATATTAAAAAAATGAAAATAATTATATTGAAAGACTTTTAAAGAATTGATTTTTTAAAACATATTTTGATCAACATCACAAAATTTATATAACTGACCCAAACTAGCAGATGATGAAATAAGCGATTAAATGTTCTACTTTCCTATTTGTAAGCATTATGTGTCCAGTGGTAAGGAGCCTATTAGGATAGCATAAAAAAGAATGTACAAATGTTAATAATTGATTTATCAAATTTTTTTTTTTATTTCCTTCTCCTTCGGGACTTTTTTATTGTTTTCATAACTAAACCTAAACATAAAAAAATGCTGGCCTTATAATGAAGAAAGGGGCCTCTTTCAAAATAGATAATTTCAGGGCAGCTAACTATACCATACTTTGACTAAATATAAATTAATGCTTTGAAATCTGCCCTTTCATAAGCAATGGTGCCTCTTTCAAAATTTGTGAATTTCATGGCTTTTGGATTAAAACACGAACCAAATACAATTGCTAGAAAGTTGTTACATGATACTCAGGTGACCTATAAGGCCCGTGGGCCTCTTGTTTAAAGAAATGAAAAGTTACAATTAAAAATTTCTGAGGTATTTTATGTATGAATTGCCAGGAGAAAACAAAGAGAGTTATGGAGGAGAGGCTGACCTGCCTCCTGTTTCTGAAGAGGACTTTCCCAGTCTGAAGGAAGCTGCCATGATGGCCAGAGGAGTGAAGCTGGACAAACCAACTAAAGTCAAAGATAAGAACAGCCAGAAAGGACCAGCCAGGGTAGGCAAGATAACAGAAAATGAAGCTGATCTAGAAGACATTAACTGGAATGAAGATATCGGTAATTTTATAGTCTTGAATTTGTTAGAGGATGTTTTTTTTTTTTTGCAGAAATATTTCAAGTATGATTTGCAGATAATTTAGCATCAAGTTATTGAAAAATATATTTGAGTAGATCCAGAGAATGAGTTAGACGAAGACTTGGAAATACAGTCCAGTATTGTGAGATCAGCTAAAGAAGATGTTGAAGTCCCCCCTCCCCACACTCCAGTACTGGATATGGAGGAATACACTTGTAAAGGTGAGAAAATTGGTATATGTATTTAAGATCTGAAGGTGTCACTGAAATCTAATTCATGGTCTCTTTATATTCTGTCCAGCTGATATGTTAAAAATGAAATCAACTAAAGTCAATTTTGGTTTTGAATAAGAATGGTCTTGAAGTCTTTGAAGTATAATTTCCACCTCAAGTGTGCAAGTTGAGTACTTGTATTATCTTATCTGAATGATTTAAATTAATCTTGGTGGTTCAGGGATGCATCTATAGAAGTAAATTTCTCCAGATACCTGATCATTTTTCTTTTATTTTGTGTATGCGTTTATTAAAAACGAAAAACAGTAATATTACTGTTGGATAAACTAACTTGTACCAGAATTTTCTTGACTAAAATATTGTCCATACATGTAGGCACTCCTAATTTCATCATGAAAGGATTGAAGAAGTTTGGTTATGAGTCATTCAGATCAGGGCAAGAGCATGCAGTAAAGAGAATCCTAGCAGGTAAAATTATCTGGACATGGTTAAAAAGAGAACAACTTTCAAAGTGATTAGATTTAATTGTTACCTCATCTAAGCTGAAATCTAGTTATCTATAACTTAATACAGTAACTATACTTAATACATGTCAAGATTGTGGAACAATTGAAAATTGATATTCTCTTACTTTTACTCCTTGAAATGAAAAATGGTTCCTTGTTTTAAGTGGCAAGAATGTCATTCTTCCACTAAAGGCTCTTAAAATGGACTGATTTACAATGTTAATTTTATGCTTGTATTTTCTACCTTTAGGATTGTCCACTCTGGTTGTGTTGTCAACAGGAGGTGGTAAATCCCTGTGTTACCAGTTACCAGCCTACTTGTATGCTCAGAGGTCAAAGGCCATCACCTTGGTGATTTCTCCTCTTGTCTCACTCATGGAGGATCAGGTGTAGATTTCTTGTACATGTTCATTAAAAGATTTCAGAATGATAAAGCTAAGATGATGTTTGTTATTAAAATTGATTTAAAGCAAAGATTGAAGACCATTACAAATTGAAAGGTTTGAGGAAATGGACCTGTGACTTTTTTTTAGCATAAATCTAGATAAATAAAAAAAAAAACCTTGGAATTTTATTGCTTTGCTCTTAAGAAGGCCATTCAATATTAATATCTAGGTGACTGGTCTGCCTCCAGGTGTTAAAGGAGCCTGTCTCCATACCAACATGACAACAGCACAGAGAGACAGTGTCCTGCATAATGTCAAAGAGGGCAAAGTTCACTTCCTGTTAGTGTCCCCTGAGGCTATTGCAGGGGGTGGAATGGTTTTGCTCAACAATCGGTCTTCTCTGCCTCCTATTGCATTTGTGTGCATAGATGAGGCCCATTGCTTATCAGAATGGTCACACAATTTCAGACCATCATATTTAAGGCTTACCAAGGTATTGCTATTTTTGCTTTAATCCTAGATTACTGTAAATCTAATTTTACTAACAAGAATTTTATTGAAATGCAATTTTCAAGATAGACTTGATGGAGTGAGAAAGAAATTACAAAGTTTTCAATTATATTGGATGCCGTTCTCATCCTTGTTTCAGGCTTGTTTGTTACTTCTGTTTTAAGATTAAGGTGTTTGTCGATTTTAATTTTCAGGTACTAAGGGAGAAATTCGGAGTGCAGTGCTTCCTTGGACTGACAGCTACTGCTACCCAGTCTACGTCACAGGATGTTGCAAAGCATCTTGGGATTTCTGACATTGAGGATGCAATCATTCGAGGGTCACCTGTGCCTAAAAATCTGCTACTATCTGTATCCAGAGATGAAAACAGGGATGAGGTATGGCATATTCTTTCTGATTATATTCATACTTCTCTCCTAGACTTGTTTAATTAATTCATCAACATTATCATGGTCACTTTTTTAATTCATTAGGAATATATCTTATTCACTTATCTTCAAAAAAAAAATCACACAGAATACATGTACAAGATGTCTTACTTGAAAACAACGCTTGAGATTGATATTTGCTTGAAAAAAATAGGTAAACTCCTCAAACCACAGTTACAAAATCATCTCCATAGTTCTGCCACAGTTAAAATATTAGAGCCACAGTGTGATCGTCGCTGTCAGTACGATAAATATATACATTTATTAATCAAATAAACTCAAAATTGAAATTTTTAAAAAGTGGTAATAGGTAGAAGACACCGCTGGACACTTGACTTTTTTTTAACACTTCATAATTACAAAGGAAATTTTAAATATCAATTAGTTCATGCTTAAATAATAAATAGTTCTACAGTTAACTTTTCTCTTACATTGTACTTGCGAATATTATTACGTTGCGCAATTCTTGCACCACAGTGAAATTTTAAATGATGGAGAACCCTGGAATAAATACCTTTTCTGCAGAAATATTCCGACATTATTTTTGATTGGTGGTGCATTATTCTCCAGGCATTGATAGGACTTCTACAGGGAGATAGGTTCTCCTCATGTGAATCAATCATTGTTTACTGTACCAGACGACAGGAGACGGATCGCCTCGCAACACTCATCAGAACGTGTCTGAAAGATTACAAAGCCGAGGACTGGGAACAGAAACCAAAGAAGGGTTAGTGCAAAGAAAGTTATTTTATTTATAACTAAAAATTGAAATGTAATGCACCAGAGAAAACTTTAGCTGAATGCATTGCATTTGTACTATGACAAAGAATATTCTCATGCATAAATTGCCACAACGTTGTATAAATATATTATAACAATATAAGATTATATTTGTAAAGCAGATAAAATTGCATTAAAATGCATTAAAAACATGCCATAGGTGTTTGGTGTTTGGATTTTATTTCAGTAATTGAAGAACACTTCATTGCAGTTTCATAGGTACATGTGTCTTTCACAAGAATGTAAGGTTCTTTCTGATTTTATTCTGTATGTGGAGTTATAAAATTGATGACATTTCAACCCCTCTAAAAATATTTAACCAGAAAAAGGTTCAATTGTATAAGGTATTTAAGCATTTAGATACCTTTATAGGGAGAGCAAAGACCTATGCCTTTTGGGATGCTGAAAGTTACCATGCGGGATTAACTGCAGCGCAGCGAAAGCGAGTGCAGAACGCCTTCATGTCTGGGAGACTGAGAGTGGTGGTAGCCACCGTGGCGTTCGGGATGGGCCTTGACAAGTCAGATGTCCGTGGCGTCATTCATTATAACATGCCTAAGAGTATGGAGGGTTATGTCCAAGAGATCGGCAGGGCTGGTAGAGATGGAAAAACATCACATTGTCATCTTTTTCTGGATTCTGAGGTAAGTTCTATTTGATTTTTTTTGTATAAAGCATTTATTCTCTCCTTTCAGTCTAGCTAACAATTCATGGAGTGCCCAGATGTAGAGAGTGTGCAATACTGTAAAATCACATATTTTCCTTGGGTCAAATTTTTTCGAGATTTGAGGAAAAAATTTTGGTTTGTGGGGACTTGATTGGAGAATGTTTAATACTACTGCATATGAAATTTTAATTTTCATGGTGGTCATAAATTTATGGATCTATCCATGCCTTGAAAACAAGGAAAATTAAACCACCACAAAAACTAGTGATTTCACAGTAACCATGAACAACTTTTCTAGAGCTAAGGTCAAGATTGAGCATATTTTCTTTCCCCTGGCCTTACCTGGCTCTGAGTAAAATCTTTGCCTTACCTTTGGCTCTACTTAACCTTTAAAATCTTGAAAGTGTAGTGAAGTTGAATCTCTGATCAAAAGGCTAATTTCTAAAAGTTGTTATCTCTGTTAAATTCTTTTCTAGAGAATTTTTTTTTTATTTTAACGTACTGTATATTCGCCATACTTCTCATTTGGGCAAATTTAAAATGGGGCAAATGTAAAAAATACAGTACAATTTCTTAAATAAAACTAGGACTTGGCAAATTTTAAACAGGGCAAAATTGTCTGCAAGTGTGAAAGGGCGAAAATTACACGGGGCAAAAATAACCTTATATACAGTACCGTATAAGCAGAAGTTTTAGGCTACATAAAATTGAAATTCTGGTTCTCAGGCCCGCGTGCATCCATTTTGAGGTAGCCGCATTGCTAATTTTATTGTATTTTTGATAAAATAAAAAGTTGGTATTGCGGAGACCAATCCGGAAAAAGAATTTCCATCCTCATTTTTTCGTAGCTTAGTATTCAAATATCACTTCTGGTTGCCATTTTCAAAGAGATTTTGTCTACTTCGTTTGAAAATACATTCGAAGACATTGCCTTCAATGTTCACACGCTGATAAGCAATGGATTAAGCAGAATTTTAATCAGACATGGAAAGTATATCTGTGATTTAAAAAAAATTATCTTTATGTGAAAGAAAATTTGAAAATTAAAATTAAAAAATTCCTCCCTCATCTACTTTGTTGCCAATAAAATGATAAATAAAATGCCGCCCTCCCCATCTGTTTTGGAGAAACCAGAGAATTAAATTTAGATAGCCTTAGCGAGGAGTTAATTTTGACATTATTAGGGAGGGTGCCAAGATCACTAACATTGAATATCGCTAAAAATTAATTGCGCTTTATTTGTAAAAGTTTATATAGTGAGCTTATAAAAATTGCTAAAATTACTTCTCGCAAAAAATGAAATACCAATTTTTAAGGACAAGTCACTAAATTTGCGTCTTGCTAAAATTTCCACTTATACGGTACATGTATTTTAATATTATGTAATAAATACTTAAATGGATTAGGCAGCCGGCATAGCCTATATAATCCCTCTCAACCACTTTTCTTCTTTATTGTCAGCTTTTCCCTTTCTCTATTTTTTTTTATCTTCAGACTTAAAATTGTTTAAAAAAAGATAATGGAGAAAAAAAACACTTTTAGTTGTTAGAGTTATCTTTCTTTTTCTAGTTATTAATAAACGAATGTTCTTCAAGATGATGCATTTCCTGTTTGTCATGGTTTTAATCAGGAACATTTCATGTTGATTTCAGTTTAATATTTGAGTTTAATCAGCAATGTCAACTTTGGAATTTTCAATGTGAGGGTCAGAGTTTGGTGTATTTATGACCAAATATGCTGTAAACTCATAGGGGCAATTTTTGACTTAAAATTGTGAAGCAAAACATTGAGGCCACAGGTGGGGGTCCACCTTAGGTTCCCAGCATGTCCAGGGTAGAGCCAGGGGAGGGGGTGTTTAGGGGGAGAATGAACCTCTCCCCCAACTGAATATGAATTTGAGTGTTTTAGAATGTAAAAAATAGTACTTAGCCTGGAAAGAATTTTTGAATTTTTTCTGGTTTCATTATTGATGATATTTCAAAGTATTTATTAGAGTAAATAAAATTTAATAAAGTAAATAAAACTTCCAACACATTTTTTTTTGAAGATGAATATATATTTTCTTAACTTTTTTAATGCTTAAAACTTTAATTGAACTCGGCAAAATTGCAAAGGTAATAATAATATTAATCACTTTAGACAGGTTTTGTAAAGTACATGATGCACACTGATTTTTCCTTTTTCTCAGAAAGGATGTCAACTTTCTGTATACCCCTTTTTCTTTTGGTCCATATATATTTTCTTTCACATAAATTACTTTTAGAACTAGAGCCTGATATCATAAATTTTGATCCCAAACATATTGAAATAAGAGCATTTTATAGATTTTTTAAAAATAAAAACAATTATTTTTAAAAACAAATTAAAAGTTTTTTTTTTTTACAATCTGTTATTAATTATGGGAAAGGGATGGTGCTGAAAATTCTAGTGAGGCAGTTGCCTCATGGCCACAATGGTGCTACCGTTTTTTGGTGCAGTAAAAATTAAAATTATGCATGTAATACTGTTGCAACAGAGAGTGTTTTGATCTTTTGAATTTCACCAGTGGTTAATTTGCATATAGATGAAAATTTTGTTTTGCAAATGGTACTGTTCTTAAATCACTTTAATCTTATCTATGTAATGAAATATTTTTTGTTATTCATGCTGTTCTCTATATTTATTTTTTAATGTCAAGTCAGCTGTGAATTCTGATGACTTCATTTTACTGTGAATGGTAAATAAGCAGGGATATCTCTTTCAGATCAATAATCCACCCAGATCAACTGACAGCTTATATAGTGTTATGTGGTTAACCTTTAATATATATCAATTGTATTTAATGGTTTGATCAATTATTAAATAAAATGATTTTTGCTTCATTTTAAATGTTGGTTAATTTGTGCAATATGTTCAGAAGTAAACCAAGAGAAGATATATACATGTTAAAAATTTCTTAAAATTTTTAAACTTCAACTTTAAAAGATGACACATTGATTGATTTGTAACAAAAATTTTTACAATATTAGTTTTTATCAAATTTACATGATGAACAAAACTATATTTGGACTGGTCACTTTTCAAACCTTCGGGAAATAGTAACTTTACTGCTGTTACAATTCTTTTTGAATATTACGTAATTTTTTTGTAATTGCACATCCTGCTGCTAGGAAATTATCAAATTGCAGTGTTTAAAGTGATAATTCTTTTCTGATATTTAGTGGTTTACAGTGATAACAAAATATTTAAGGAACCATAAAATGGGAAAACTGTTTATGTAATTCAACCAATTCATGTGAATTAATTTTTTTATAAAAAAATTCAAAAAATAAAATATAAAATTCACCTGCAGATACTGACGTCCCTATAAAATTAAAAATCCTTGTAGCATGTAAGAATTCAACAAAGTTATTTTTTTGTTTGGCCTAATACTTTCTATTAGATTTAATCACTTTAGAAATAAAAATTAAAGTGAAAGCAGTGCAAACAGCATTTTTCCTTTCTGTAGAAACTGTCACTCTCATCAGGCTTCCAGTTTGTTCTTAGCTGAGACCTTGATATATATTATTCGAAAAGTTGAATAATCAACACTGAAAATAAGAAGATATCATCAGAAATCAATGGAAAAGTAGAAATACAGAGAAAATATTGAAAGACAAGCATTTTATAGATTTTTTAAAAATAAAAACAATATTTTTCAAAAACAAATTAAAAGTTTTTTACAATCTGTTATTAATTATGGGAAAGGGATGGTGCTGATAAACTGTTTCTGATGTGAGATAATCACAGTTTGCGTCATGGCCACAATTTGGTGTTAGTCATTTGAACACTATGATGGTTTTGTAAATTGAATGGCTTGACAGAGAAAACTGTATATATACTGTTGCAACAGAGAGTGTTTTGATCTTGTCATGAATTTCACCAGTGGTGGGACTAATTATGCTCCATTGCATTAACTTCATAAACTTGTTTTGCAAATGGTATTGGGTGTGAAACAGACCATTTGTGAGTGCATATATATGGCTATGTAATGAAATATTTTTTGTTATTCATGCTGTTCTCTATATTTATTTTTTAATGTCAAGTCAGCTGTGAATTCGTGTGTCGTGTGTTAACATTTTACATTTTAGGTGTATAAGCAGGGATATGAGACCAATTTCAACCAAATTTGGTATACAGCATCTATTGAAGAACAAAAATTTATATAGTTGTTAAAAAAGTCAAGGTTTCAAGATCTATATCAATATTTTGACATCAGATCTTGTCAGATCAATTATTAAATTACATCCTTAAGTTAATGGATAGCATTTTAAATGTTGGTTAATTTGTCTTATTATGAGAGAACTATGGAAGTAAACCAAGATCAGAAGAATGACTGTTAAAAATTATCTGCAATTTTGATTGGAATATTGTTAAAGATAGACACATTGATTGATGATTGTAATTAAACATTTTTTTCCCCTCAATTAGTTTCTTAATCAAATACATGATAAGAACAAAACTTTACTTATCCGACAGACATAAAAAACAAACCTTGATGGGAAATTGTCAAACTTTAGTGGTTCACAGGGATAATTCTTTTTCAATATTAAGTGGAATTCTACTAATTTGAATCCCAAAATCCTGCTGCAAGGAATAGGAAATTATCAAATTGTAGTGTTTAAAGTGATAATTCTTTTCTGATATTTAGTGGTTTACAGTGATAATTTTCTGATATTTAGTGGAATTCTGCTAATTTGAATCCTTCGAGGGGATGCTCCACTTATAAGTTAATTAGAGCTGCCCTTGTTTATTTATTTTTTTATTTATTTTTGAAGACTGAGAAAAATAGTGAAATATATTTATTCACCTGCAGATGGTGACGTCTCTGTAAAATTAAAAATCCTTGTATCAACGTAAGAATTCAAGTCAAGTGTAGAATTTCTTCAGCTTGATCCTCTTTAATACTTTCTATTAGATTTCAGATGAAAATTTATAGGAAATAAAAATTCAGTGAGA